TAAGGAGACGTGGATGTGGGACCATGAACAGGGACGACGGAGTTTACACGCTGGACCACGCATGGGACTGCATCGTCGGAGAGGGGAGAGCGGGCAGTAGAGGGCGACAACGTCCTCTGCTGCCCGCAGATAAACGGAGAAGGAAGTGACGCGCCACCATCAGCGTCAGCCTGAAGAAGCCGGCAGCTGTCGGCGAAACTGTAGCTACAAACAGGTAAACAAAACTGTTTCTGTGTTTAAAAAAGAACGAAAGCATGGAAATACACATAAGTAGGATCAGCGCGGTTTCCGATATCAACAAGCGGGGCAAACAGGTTTTACACACACGCGCGCGCACACACACACACACACACACACACAGCAAGGGCACAAGAATGGGGTTGGGGGATTTGGAAGACAGGCGTGAGCACAAGCGCTCGTTGAAAATTCTCGCCTGATGTAAACAGAGAGGAGCGGACAGCGCACAAATTTTGTGAGCGATCCACTATGCGGCGCTTCACAGCTGGTGTGATCCAGAGCTTTTGCTGGTTTGCCAGCATGGCGTGTCTTCTAAAAAGAGCTTCAGTAACCTCGCAGGCTCACAGATAGTGAACAGTGACTATGTCCCTCGTTTGTTTGTAAGGAAAGGAGAACAACTGTCAACCCCCAGCCAGCTGTTTCAGTATAACCTTCCTTTCAACCTGACTGACATCAGACTGTTTTATGATTATTTCACTGTAGAATTCTTACATATTGCTCCTTTAAGATTAAACACAACTGCCTTCATACTTTTTAGTCATTTATCTTCATGTTTTTGCGGTCTGAACAGGAAATTATGGAAATTAATGGTAAGCTCTTCAAGGTGGCCAATGAGGCTTTCAAGCAACAAGCAGATCTTTCTAAGAGATGAGGAGAAAAGTAACCCTGGCCACAAAGACGGCTTTTGTCGGTGCTCCAATATGCCGTGACTGTGTGACAAACTTTTCAGAGCTGATAAGATGGTTTAACGCAGCCTTGATCTTCTTATGGGAACTCTTAAAAAACTTCCTCTGATTGTAACTGGATCCCTGATGTTACGTTACCCAGCAGAGCAGCTGCCTTTCTTTTCCCATCAACAAATCCACCATCTAACTTATCCGATGTTTGACTTCAATTGTGCTGCTGAAAATAGTGTCTTTGTGTGTGAGGGAGAAAAACGAGGCCAAGCACATGAGTAAGACACGCAGACCACAGGGGAAATGTCATTTTCCAGTGTTGTTATCGCTGAGATAGTTATGAAGTGGTAAGACAGTTTACTGCAGATGAAAGCGATTAGAGAAAAGGATGATAGGACGGAAGACAAGAACCAAGGGGGCACTCATTGTGCTCCTCATATAAACAACCTGCTCATGGACGAGGGCTAAAACTAAACACTTGATGGTTACACAAGTGTACGTGTCCAGAGGCATGTGTCAGAACAAAGTGATGCACGTTAGCAAATCTAAAGAAGAAGGGGCAAAAAAAATCTGAAAATGATAAATGTTCTATTATCTCTCTTTCTCAGGTAGATTTCTGCTACATACAGGACTCGGAAAGTGTCGTGTAATGAAAATTATATCATTTCATTTTGCAAACTGGATGAAATTCTTTACTTTTAACTCTTTTTCTTTTACATTTAAAGAGGAAGATCACTAAAAAACAGTTTTTTACTTGTTACTTAAAAGAATTATCGATCACTCTGAGTTCAGGCTGAATGTGAAAATAGTCTCATACCCTTATTTTGGGTTAGTTCTGCATTAGTAGTTGATGTATAATAAAGGGGGAAACCCTCGAATTAGAAAAGCCTGACCCCTGCTTTCCACAGGAGCCGTCAGCAGCACGTTACTGCAGCAGCACGTCTTGCTCGCGTAAGCTGCTGCTTGGCCCTTCCCACGAGACGCGAAGCAGCTGTCACCGACCGAGCACGAAGTCACACGAGTGACTTCGTCAGTAAACACAACAACAAGCAGGAGAAAACTACAACATGGCTCCAAAAGGTTTGTGTTTTATGTTCTGTCCATTTTATAATCGCCAATACGGACCTGAAAAACAAAGGAGACCGCTAGCTAGGTGATAACTTCTCACGGGGCCGCACATTTAGTACCTTTTTTTTAAAGTAAAGCAACCGGAAGGCAGTACGTTTCTTTATTCTGAAAATCTCGGGAGCTTCTCTCCATTTCCGCGTCCGATTTCCTGTATTTCCTTCCCCAAAAATGTCGAACTTGACCCGTTTCAGAGGCGTCGCGCATAGAAAATAGAACCGGTGCGTTAAGGCCAAGACATGCTGCTCCTGAGATACGGCCGACTCGCGCTGCTGACGGCTGCTGACGGCTCCAGTGGAAAAGGTTCTGTTGACCACAGTGGTTCCTATCAGCAGCTATGACGTGCTGCTGCAGTAATGTGCTGCTGATGGCTCCCGTGGAAAGCCGGGGTGACAGATCTATATCACACTGTCACTTAACATTCATGGACTCACCCATCTTGGCTCGCGGTGGGGAAGGCTGTTGTTGGTTTAGCGTACAGGGGAGAGCAGCGCACGTCTCGGCTAGTAGAAGCTAACTGTTAGCATTAGCAACTCCATAACATGGCAGAGGTCCTTTAGGCTTGTGTTATTTGTGGAGATAAAACATCAATGTTCCAACACAAACAAAGGCAGTGGTAGAATCGTGTTGCTGTTAGCCAATCAGAGGAGAGCTGTCCAAAAATCAGGAAATAAGACTCCAAATCCTGCAGCCTTCAGCTCCCCTCTGCTCTTGCTCACTTCTAGTTCCTCAAAGTGGAGCACCATAGTATTTTTCCGACAGAGATCAAGTCAATAGGCATTCATTTATACTAGACACCACTGCAACTGTGTTGAAAACATGAGTGAACTTGGTCTTTAAAAATGTCTGCTTAGATTTTGTGATGACAACGATGACATAGGTAGAAGGATGCTGAGGTTCGAGCCACCAGGCTAGAGGCTGAGAGGAAGACCATGAAGAATATTTATGGATGTGGTGAAAAAGAACATTAAGTTAGTTGGTGTGACTAAATGGAGACATTTGATTGGCTGTTGAGACACCTGAAGGGACAAGCCTAAAATGTTTTTTCTTACCACACTTGCATTTTTATATATTTTTTGGAAATGATATTGTTCAAAAAAGCCTTAAAATGTGTTTATTATGCATAAAGTTTGGTGAAATGTAGATCTATTCTAGTTCAAAGGTCAGTATTTTGTGCATGACAAAACTTGGTGTATAGAGTGGTAGCATTTCATATGGCTCAATAATCGAGAAGTAGCTCTCAGCTTCCCAAAGGTTGGTGGTGACCCCTGCTCATGATAAACTGACGGTTTTAAGTCCCAGCAGAGGATATACTTTCCAAGGCAGCTGAAGAAGTTCAAGCTGCCAGTAAAGTTGATGAGGCAGTTCCACACCACAATCCTAGAGTCCATCCTCATCTCTTCAATCACCATGTGGTCTGCTGGAGCCACCATCAGGGACATGAAGAGGCTGCGGCATGTTGTGCGCTCTGCTGAGAAGGTCAAGGCTTCCTTTTATAGAGGACCTGTGCACCTCCAGGACATTGAGGCGTGTAGGTCGGATCACAGCTGGCCTGTCTCACCCTGCACACAGTTTTTTCGACTTGCTTCCATCTGACAGGATGTTCCGATCCATTCGGACCTGAACTTCTTGCCACAGGAACAGTTTTTTCCCCTCTGCAGTCAGACTCACGAATGACAATCCTAGATCTGCAGTTGCTTTGTTTCAGTCACCTGACCTTGTGGTGTTTGTTCCTGCTTTGTCTGATCAGTTCCTGCTCTGTCTTGTGCATGTAAGTCGTTTTCCTAACTATTTTTCCTCTATATATTATTATTTTATTGTGCTTACTTTTTATTTTTGCATTAAGTGCTGCAGCAATTTTCTAATGTTGTGAACCTGCTCACACATATGGCAATAAACCCTTCTGATTCTGCTTGTAATCTATAGTTGTCTGATCCTATGCTGCCCTCTTCTGGAGCTATGGAGATTTTGCTGAACAAGTAAAGAAAAGTGCAAATATTTTTAATTGAGTTTCTGTCAAAAGAACAAAATTAATAACTTTTGAACAAGTTACAAATTGTTATTCTGTAACTTTAGGGAAATTCTAGCCTCAAAAGCCTTAAAGCATTACACACGTAGGCTTTAATTATACACTATTTTAAGCTTAGCACTGCTGTCAATTCCACATTACACAATATTTATGGTTAAAATATAAAATTCTACCCAGAAATGTTAGATTTTCCACATATCTTAGCTGTAAATACCTATATATTAAAACTGTGCATTAACGGCACACTATCAGGAAAAAGCCTCAACATTCATGTAAAATACCAAGGTTTAATTTTTCTTTTCTGCTGTCAAATACTTGTTGAATGTGTTTTACAAGCAGGATCGGTCAAAAATAACTTCAAAAGACTAAAGAGATAAATGAATCTCCTCCCACCCCAATAAAACAGACTGTTCCAAGGTCGCTCTGAATAGCAATAAGGAAATGAAACGGAGTTAGATCCAGCAATGTCAGAGAGAGAGAGAGAGAGAGAGAGAGAGAGAGACTGGCCAATCTACTAAACATAGAGCTTCTCTTTCTGCAGCCACTAACAACAAAAAATACAAAAAGAAGCTACGAGATGCTGCTTGCAAAACATTACAACAAGCTGCTGTTGTAAATCATAGGTGTTAGGAAAAAAAGGTTTTAGATAATTATTTATGAAAAAAAATATCAAAACTAAGAGCTAACCTTTGGCTTAAAATGTCTAAACCCAAGCTGTTAGGATGCGGCTCGTCAGAGCCTCATTGTGATGATCACATATTTAGGACGGGTCAGATATGAATCACTGATGACCTCTTCAGCACAAAAACCGACAATGCTTGGGTTTTTAAGAGTTCCCACAAATTTCAGTTCGTTTCCATCTTGTGAGTACAATTTGACTAGAAATAAATGTAACCCAATGATTTCTATGAGCAAAACACAAACACATCACATTCCTTGTTTCCACTTTTATTTCAGCTCCAGTGTTTCAGACTGTAGCAGCATTTATTTATACTTTTACAATCATTTATTGTTTACACTTTTAATCATTCCTGTTCTGGATGTGGTCCCCCTCCCACCTCCATCTTACATCAACTGTGCATAAATAGCATCCAACTATTTACAATATAAAATTTCCCACAAAGATCAACGATTTTCCTCTTTATAAAAAATCTGTATAAGAATTGGTGTAAAACATTTTGCAATCTACAGGTTATGGTCAATAATAAAAATGATATGGAGTGCATGAAGTGTGTGTTTCAGACTCAAAACCTTCTCCTCCTGGAAGCCTTTTTAAATATTCATAATAATAATGTTCATATTGATTTTCTAATCAAAAAAGAAATTTTAGCTTGAATTCATCACAATTAAACAGCAGAACTACAAAGTGAATTAGGCTACCTTTTAGGTCCGTCTTTAGATATTAGTGCTGAAATCCATTTGGCATCAAAGCCAACATGAGTCAGTCTAGCTCAATTGGATCATCTGACAAAAACTACGTCAGACATTTATTTTCCTAATACAATTTAAATTAAAGATATATAAAAATGTCCCCTTTTGTTGCAACTGTAGAAAAGCTGCAAAATTCAAGTTTTACGCATTCAATACTACATGGGGGAAACTAAGAGGGAATGAGAGTTTACAGCCACTCAAAAGCAGAAAGCGACAGCAAGTCTTTGGTTTGTTAATCTTTGCATAGCTGTACACAGCAGGAGGCACCCCCTCACAGATAAACCAACTTCAAGACAAATGAATCAGCCTGCTCTCTGGTTTTAGGACCTGTCAAAATGTCCTGACTGTATTACAACTAGACAAAAGGATGGAAAAAGCAGCAAACACACAGCAAATGTGCAACTTCAACAGGATGAGAAAAATAAAAGATTAAATTTGATCACGGTTTCCAAAGTCTGCACATTGTTATCGCTCCTAACACTTCATCTGTCAGGCTTGCAATCACAAAATCTGCATGAGAAGCTAAACATCTATTCTGTATATTTATAATATCTGAAAATTTCGAGTCTGCTATGACACCGAAACATCAAGAGACAGAAAATGTAACAGATTATCTCTGGTCCGCATTTGGACCTACGTATAGAGATGTTACAGATGTAGCCACTGGTAACTTAAATATAATTATGTCTTTGACACATATAAGCAGGTGTCTTACAGCAAAAACAAAAGCTCTACATTGTGCATGACTCAGGATAACTGTAGTCTTACAAGGCAAACCACTGGACCGGTTTGGCTGATTAAAACTGAGGAGGAAACAGTGGTAACTTGGTACTAAATGCACATTAAAATAGACAGAGATGACATTTACTAGCATTAAAAATACCATTCAGGTCATCAAGGTCAAACGTGACAAACTCTAAATAAAACGGCTTGTTATGGTATTTTGTGCGTTCTTTAACATACGTTAAACCCAACATGTATGATTATTTCCTATGTGGATAGAAGAAGAAAGTGGAGGAGAAAATGGTTGTGTGTGTGATACCCATGAGGCACTTGGATTAGACTGCTGTCAGTGAGGAGTGGAAAGAAAACATCTGTTTCCATAAACACAACAACCATAAACAAATGACACTCGGTCTCTTCCACTTCCACAAAGTAGAAGCCAATAAAATAAATAAAAACAAAATTCCAATACTTAGAAAAACAAAGAAAAACGTCATGACGTGGAGAAATTATTATGGTTGGAGTGAAGTGGAGAACGTTTACCAGTCTTTGTCTTCTTCAATACAGTCCTCTTTGTTGCATAGCGTGGTTGTGCGTCGTCACTTCAACTACGAAAACAATACCCCATAATAAAAGGAAAAAATAAGGAGTGGAAATCTACACCACAGCTCCACCCGCGACTTCCCCGTCAGACAAAAGCTAACGCACCTGTAAAACCACACAAACTCCATTACAGCGGACCGGATCCTGCCTCCTGTTCCAGCTGCTGCTTCGTCAGGAAGTATTTGAAGAACTCATACACCGACCAGGCGATGGCAGTAGAGGGCATCTGGTAGATAACCCGAGCTTGGGCCCCTTTGAAGAACGCCGGCGCCCCCCCGAGCCGGTACACCGTCCTGAAGGCATTAGCCATACCTGTCAAGTGGCCGCTGACGTTGATGGAGCTTAGTGCTACGTTCTCTTGAGTGTTGAGCAGCGTTTTACAAACGTCCAGCGGGGTCGTCACAGCGGCAGAGACAGCTCCCGCCACAGCTCCTGACACGATGTGGCTGCTGGGGTTGTAGCGCCTGTGGGGGTTTAACTGCTCCTGCATCAGTTCGTAGGTGATGAAGTGAACGGCCTGGAAGGGGATGTTCATGGTCAGCTGTGTGCTGTAGCTGCGGTAGAAGGCTCCGATGCCCTCGGTGTGCGTTACAGTTCGGACACAGTCCAAAAGTCCTCGATACGGAGAGTTGTACATCTGCATCCTCTGCTTTACCACTGGGCAACGGGAGAGAAGCACACCTGTGTTAGCATGGTTTATCACACAGGCAGTGGGGTTTTAGGGTTCTTGATAAATGTGCTGCAAAATTATGTTTTTAAAGAAAATATCCTTTCTGCCAGGGACAAATCGAAACTCACTTAACTTTATTTATTTATTTATTTTGACATTTTGTGACTTTCGAATGTGTAGAAAAAAACGTAGCGTCCTTCACGGAGTTGGAGCTATGGCAGAATGTTTCTCAGAGATAAACAGTCTCAGGTATCAAGAGAAGCTACAACTAATGACGACATAACAGCACTATAGATGTCTGCTGCAAAAGTGTCTGTTTAGTAGTTAAAGATCATTGCATCTTTGTTAAGTTGATGATTTTCTAACATGAAGTAATAATTATTGTGCACCTTTAATATTTTGCTTCCAAGCTGTCAGGACTTCCAGTAGTTGAGGAATAATTCTTCACAATTTCTGGATGATTGTCAAAGTTTTTCTTCATCCTCTTGGCTGATCCTCAGACCAGTGCCTGACCATTTTCAGAGGAATGTGTTTTTGTTTGTTAAGACACTAAATATTGACCGTTAAATCAACCATTCATAACTCAAAAAGGTATTAAGTTGTTTCAACAATCCATTTTATAATTTGGTCATAAGGAGTGCTTTTGTTTAATGACTATGAAAACCCCAAAGATAACTCAGTCTGATACATAAAATAGTAATTTTGCTCCAACAGGATGACTCCCAAAGAGCCATTAGCTGAAAACTCAGAGTGAATCATGTGAGATTTGATTAATCTCTCAAGTCCAGTTTCAGGTCTTTGCTGGATTATCCGTATTTATTTTCTTCTTAAAGACGTGGGGTACATCAACAGTTTCTTTTGGGAAGACCCTCCTTCTTTTGCCCTTTACTTCTTCACTTTGCAGAACGACTAAGCTGCACAATATGCGGTCTGGCATGAGGATGGAAAATCAGTGAAAGAAGCTGTAAAAAATAGCCAAGAAATCTAAATAGACTGTAGCAGACTACTAGATAATTTATTTGATCTGGGGCACAACTTAGGTCATGTATCCACTGTTTATCTGTCCTGCACAGAAAAGTATGCTGGAGTGTTTATTCTTTACACAGTCAGATTAGATGCGGCAGCAGCCATGATTTTCACATCTTGTTCGAGTAAAATGAGATTTTTGATGGACACAGATCTTTATGTACTGATCCAAAAGAAATGTACCAGGTCACCAAATGGGTAGGGCCAAGCTAAGAATAAAAACTAATGCATGAGGAGATTTGGAGCCCTTTTGACCGATGACCATGAGGGGTCACTTCAGAGGGTCACATTTGTACCATTTCCTATGCTTTTTCTTGGTCTCATAGACATGAATATGTAGACACCCCATTGGGTACTGGAGAACATTAAGTGTCACCGCCATACTGTGTGGGCTCCTCACTCTCCAAACCTAACTGGAGTCAACTCTGAGTGAGCTACTATGCCCGTTTTTTGAGTAGCCTACGGTTGCAACAACTACTGAAAACAGATCACACTACTAGTGACTTTTCTAGCCTACCTGTTGGTATTTAATATTTTTATTTATTTTGCTTAATTAATAATTATTTTAATTATCAAGCCATACTATATGTCTGACTTTGTGAAAAAGCGTAATAAAATGTGTTTTTTAGTTAGTTAAGCAACTTCCTCAGTAAAAAAAATGCATTGGGGGCAAATGGGGACCCATTCAAGATGGTGGCCCACTGCTATGCCAGCTCTGATAGACAGCACCAACTGGGTGTCTACGTATATGATGTCTGTGGTTGGTCTAGCCACGTCTATCATTGGCCTGAGCAGTGTTATATCTTGCCAATCACAGCTCTCAATGGTTTGGTGGGCAGGAATTAGCACCAGCGCTGCCACAAAGCGAACCAACAAATATGGCAGTGGCTCATTTGGAATGACTGTCATCAACTTTGGACTATTTAGATTTGGGCTTTTCTGAGTCAAGAGCAGATAGAGGTAATTAAGTCCTTCATTTAGACAAAGGATGCATTTGCATCATCTTTGATCGTGTGGACTGGTGTACTGTCCCGCTGACTGACATCCATAGTGGTGATTATGTCATGTTGTTCATTGCTCTGATTAGGGATGGGTACTGAATTCGGTACTTTGAAGGCACTGACTGAATGCCATGATACTGACCAAAGACCGATTCACGCGATATAAAACGGTGCCTTGTTTTGGCACCTTAAGACTTTAGTAGACTTTGGCTCTCTAAAGTTTGGGTCCTCATCACTAATTGTGATGGGTGACTGAAAATGATGACAACAATCTAAGTGAAGCATCATCATCTTAATCTGCTCCAGCAGGTAAATAAACTGTTTAAGATGACGTTAGCTTGATATTTTAGCTTCTGGTAACTTCAGCTAAAAGTGCGTTTGATTCCCCCTAGAAATTCTGAATTCCAAGTAGGAAAAATCAGCTGTTTGAAAAAGAACAGCAATAGAAATGAAGATACACATTAAATTTAGTTCACGGCAAAGACATTAGCTTCAGTTTAATTTAATGGTTTTTCCTAGGTACTGGGAGTTAGTACCGTATCAATTCAAATGTCAAAGGCACCCATCCCTAGCTCTGATTGGTCCTAGCATTGTCCAATAGCATGCAAAGACTGCTTGAAAGACAGCCATAGATTCCACCCCACAACTGAACTCTCTCTATGGGTTGTGGCCAGATTGTATATTCACATATAAAACATAACTTGCCAGGATAGAAAAAAACTACTTTGAAAAGTGTTATTTTTGTTTATGTATGGTTAAACCTTTTGCAGAGTAATATAGAAAGGTATCTTTGAAATATTGTGACATAAAAAACAACAGGTCTGATGTTTCCATTACCTTCAGCTGGATTCATGACAGCATCATGGAGAACGGTAGCAACACTCCCCGCCACACCTGATCAAACAACAAATCCTGTTGAGTCTAAAAATCATTTCACTTTGTTTCTCATAAATCAGAGGCAAAATCCTACGACATCCTGGACTGAATTAACAACCTGTTCCTCTCTAAGGAATAAAAATAAATAAACGATGACATAGACTGGGTAGAATTTCTGGTGTTTAGCACGTTTGTCCTGGCTAGTGTAAACTGTATGAATTATCCCGGGATGCTGTGAGCAGCTGTGTGGAGGTTGTACCGTTGGCTATGTGGCTGTTGCCTCCACTCTGGATGATGTCACTCAGTGAGCGCTTCACCTGCTCATAGCAGGCAAAGTAGAGAGCATGAGCGGGCCCCGCTCCCAGTGCTGTGATGTTGAGGCCCCTCAGCGGTCTGAGGACCCCTTCTGTTCGAATGATCTTTTTCAGAGCTTCATACACACTTTTGTATTGTGCATTAGGGTCCGGCTGCAAGCTCTGCATCCGTGTCTGCAGTGAATAAAATAAAATAATTAATAATTTGACGCTTAATTCTTGATTTCTTCATCTACTGTAAAACTGCCACAATCGTCAGATGAAAATCCTGGCACCACTGAGGTCTTGTCTGAACGAGGGTGGGAGGCAGTGGCAGCGCTTTGTTTTACTCCATCATGCCAAGTTATCTGGACAACACAAAGTGTGTTTTTATTTGAAAAGAGATGTGAGGAGATTAGGCTGCATCTGTCTTCCTCAGCATGTTCTCCTGTGTTTCCTTCCTTCGGTTTGACAATAATGTATCAGTTACATTTCCGCTGCACACAAATTTGGGAACTCTGGCACGCAAAACTTGGCAGCATGGATTATAATTTAAACGGTTGTGACTTTATACTGCTGATTCCCCTCATGCAGGATTTGTCTCATATGGGTTTGTCTAATGCCAATATGAGGAGGTCATGGTCTGCTGAGGCCGATATGTGTTGCCAATTTTAAGGGTTTACGCCTTATTTACATGCTAAAATGTCCCTAATAACAGTGAATGCGCAATATTTCTGAAATTAATTGTTTTTGAACAATGAATTTAACCAATTCTTGAATATTAATGCGGATTAATCAGGTTTAATCAGATTAATTTTAATCAGGATTCAAATTAAACATTCAGCCAGAGTTTAAACAATTCAATAAACTGCTCAAGTATAAAATAAAACAGGTGAATAAAAAACAAATAACAGCTGACAATAATGTCCTGCAGGATTTATTAAGCAGACGTTTATATATATTTAAATAAAATTCAACAGCATCACCAGACTGCCCGCGAATGTGCCCGATTTTAAATCAGCTCAACTAAAATTATTAATTGGCGATACATAAAAACACAATAAAAATCAGCCTGGTACATCGATCAATGCCTAACCGTTACTGCCAAACAGCTAAACGATGAATGATATTTAAAATTACATTAATCAGAAGTTAAATGAAAGAAAGAAATCCGTGAAACTAGTTAAACCAAGTGAGGAAATAAGGAATATGAGACTGACAGGTAGCTAGGTCAAAAAGAACTAAACTCATCAAATTTTTATTTCCATCAAATTTGCATTTATTTGTAAACTTCAAATACATATTATGTAAAGTTTCAACATCAGCTGTAGCAAGAAAACAAAAAGTATTTCCATTTAACAATCATTCGTTACCACGTATGGCATCTTATCCTTTAACCTTGGTCAGATGTGGTTCAGCAGCTGTATACTAATCAGCACCAGAAAAGCAGTTACACACACACCCTGAGCTGCACCAGGCCGATTCCAAACATGTGTGGCTGATAAGACACCCCTCCCAGTGTTAATAACGACTACTCCCAGATTTCCTACAACTATGAGTTTTAGTGGAGAATAAGACAAACTTTTAGCTCTAAACATTCAAATAAATACTGTTTGACTTCTGTTATTCTGTTAAACCTTGAACCGGCCTCAGACACCAACTCAACACTTCCTCTCACATGCTTCTCGATTTAAATGCTATGTACGGTACTCCTTTTGATGGCATGGTGAAATAGGAAGAAAGAACTGGGTAATTTCCAGATAATTTCTAATAAAACTGAACGAGTAGGTGTCTTTAGCCGTAAAGTTCTTGTGAAAGCTTGGAAACTCGAAGAGGAAATGACAACACTAGTTTGGGTAATAAAACCTTATGAGCCAATGTGTACAAATGCTAAGATGATGATATAATAAAGTAGATTAAATTACTTTAATATAGTGAATGTGTTATGTTTTTGACATATTGGTTAAACAAGCATGTCAAATTATAAAAAACAACACTGCATTGTTAGAGAACAATGCAAAACGAGGGAGTTTGTGGGGGTGGGTGGGCTGCAGGGACAAAGTCCATACAAGCAGTTTGCCATTTACTTTGGGAAACCTCATAATGAGCTAGTAAACTAACTCATTATGTAGAAAACTGATTGAAACTCAACTGCAGAAGCATAAATCCTGCTGCCTTCATGGCACACCAAGAAAAAATTGGAGCTATCACATTATTCATTTCAGAAAAACTAACTTTTTTTACACTTTACTTTTACGCAAGTCAAGTTGTGTTGAAGGTGCATAAAAAATCAAGAATAACATTTAATCACATAACATCAAAATAATGATAATTATTAAAAATGTTTGTTTCTGATTAGTTTTTTTTTTTTTTTTTTGCATTTTTCATTCAACAGATCAGCCACCCACTACATACAAGCTTCTAACTCCTATTCCCAAGGCTGGATGGCACACATGGAGATGACAAAGATGTTTCAGCATCCTAATGTTTGGAGTTAGGGTTTTACACAGATTTGCAATGCCTTCTCCTGGAATAAATTTCAGTGGAGTCATTAAGAATAAATAAGCATTTTAAGCACGAAAGAGATAAAAAATATACAAAACTTTTGAGAAACGATTAAATGTTTCTAATTCTAAAGCCAGCAAAACTGCTACAGCTGAGTAGCATTTGTAAACATATACAGAAAATAAATGATTACTTATTTGTGTGTAGCTACTTATTGTAATCATGCCTTTAAGAATTAATCTGATGTAAATAATGAAGTAAACACAAAGATACTGAGCTTCAAGTGTGTTGATCTAGTCTTTTTTTATCCTGGATTATTTAAGTAATGTTTAGAGCTCAACAGAGTCCAGGGTGATGATAGCGTTCACATATTCACTATTAATAAACACACTAGTAGAAGTTTATATCCCAGATAAAAATAAACAGTGCGGTGGTTAATGTGGTTTGTTTTTATTCAAAAGGCACTTTGAGATATATAATAGAACAAACCTTGACCGTCACTAAGCCTACATAATGGCTGGAAAATGAGTAAGCACATTTAATTTAACTGTTAACGATAAAAATGAACTAAAATAGGTGTAAAACTTTTAAATACCAAGTTTATATGATTAAAATGCTAAAATTGCTAAAATGCTCAAATTTAAAAGTGATAGCGAGTTTGATCTGGGGTTACTCGCCGGGCGTTTGTTGATAGCTAAGTTGGTGACTGCACAGAGACTCAAAAACTTGCTCGTTTCAAGAAGGAAGTTTTAATTCCTAGTCTGATTAACTTTAGTGACCAGTTCAACTAGTTTGTTTGGTCTGTTTGGAAACAGCCTGACGTGGCTCAATGAGCTAACACACTCAGGCTAATTTCGCAGCTAACGCCCGTTAGCGCACATAATTGGTGGCTAGTTAGGCTAATTAGCATAAGAGCTAAGGAGGTAAAAACACTCGTAACTAATTAACCAACTGCCTCGGAGTGCGTTACCTTGACTGAGTCCACGGGGTACATCACCGTGTGCTCCAGCACGCCTGCCACAGCTCCTGCTGTCATGTGGGTCAGCACGGAGACATGAGGTGGTAAACTCTCGTATTCCCCCTCACTTTTAAATGCCCCATCGTCTTCGCTTTGGTCCTGCGGCATCTCCAGCGACGCCACCGCACGGTCCGAGCTCAATTCCATGGGTGGTGAGCCCTCTCAACGGCGGTCTTCACGCTGGTGGAGGTAACGGTGGCGGCATGGATAACCACAACATCGGCATCACTACTACTTCACTGGAGTTCCCAGTGCCCGGATGACGTATCCACCTTGAGGCGTGGTTTGCCCAACATAGGCCAATAAAATTCAAAGTATAGATTAAGGAGGCGGGATTTTATGTGAAGATCCAATCAAAAGTCTCCATGGTGAATTCGTACTTCCATAAGTTTGAATGGGTTTGACAGAAGCGCTTTTTATCTCCCTGCTCTGCTTGAGTTAGATAAGTAGGTGTGGCCTCCCTATCAGGCGTCACGTTTTCAGGAAATAAAGCTGTTTTCTGTTCAAAATGTCCTACTTTACATCACATCTCACTGTTTACCACTGAGATAAATTCAAAGATAGTTGGTCTAATACAAATAAATAGATAAGTTGCTTTGAGTTTCATCTGCTTCAAATGACTCAGTTAAAGGTAAACTTATTAATCCAGCTCCAGAAAAAACCCCAAGCAAGCTAAAAACAATGTTTTAGTCAAAAGTAATAACACGGATGAGACAGCAGCAAAAATGTAATTTATTTAGTCAAAAAGAAATCTATTGCGCCCTTTCACCCAATACTTTGTTGAATTTGAACATATTGGTGTTAAAACACCATTCCTACTGACAGTCATGTGTGATCACTTCACTCACATGAATTAGCCTGGAGTGAAGAACGAAGCCTCTTATCAAATATTCACACATTTATTGTTAAGTTTCAGCCTTTGAGTTACCCGAACGATGCTGTTTTCTATTTTCAGACTTTCAGGTCTGTTTATTTTGATCAGAATTAAACATGTTGATTAGTTGGATTTTGTATTTTATTTTTGATGCACCTTTTGTGTTCAGGGATCTTTTTCTTTTGTACAATTTATTAATTAAAATTGATTTCTTCACACAAACAGGTTTGGGCTTATAAATTACCTCAGGTTGCCAAGGCCTGAAACACAAGCTCTACACACAAAGAGCTAAGTATTGTCCTTGTGGGTGTTGACTAAACACATGGACGTAATTTGGGGGCGGGGGGGGGGGGGGACATGCCCCCCCCCCCCCCCCCTCCAAAGTCAAGTTTTGACCCCTGCACTTTTTACCATTCAAAAACAATATTACCGTAAATCCTCCAATACAGCCCGGTATTCAATTAAAGGCCGGGTATCCAATTTTGGCCAGTGTCGGAGTCGGCGGCGGTGAATAAAGGCCGGTCTCTTATTGTGGCCGGGTGGAATGTGGTAACAAGCAAGTACGGGGGCGGTTGTGTCATCATCTCACTTTTGATTTGCCAGTGATGGACCGCGAGGGTAACTTTAACCGTGCAGAGACGAAGAGGAGGCTGTGCCAGAGCGTCGGTACTGACACGCGATCGTTCATGTCGGTTCATTTCCTTTAAAGATTTCTGTCTTTTATTTGCGCCTGATGTGTTTCGCTGCATGCTGTGGAGCGGGGCACATCAGCTTGTCCTCCGATGCACCCGCCAAGCACGGAGCACTCCGCTGTTTTTGCGGTAGATCTGCCTCCTGAGCACGGCCACAGTAACAATCAGGTGTCGCCACATTTAACCTGCGATCGTTCATGTCGGTTCATTTCCTTTGATGTTTTCTGTCTTTTATTTGTGCCTGATGCGTTTGGCTGTGGAGCAGGGCGCATCACCTTGTCATCCGGTGACGCACCGATCACGCGGCCACCAAGCAGGGAGCACTCCGCTGTTTTTGCAGTCGGTAGATCTTTTAGAACAGCAGGTCAAAGGTAACTCATAAGGTGAATATATATGAACCCAGGTAGCAGTTTTTCTTTAGGATTGAGAGGAGATGCAGGAAGATAATAAACAGGCAGGACAGAAAAATAGTCAAATAAAACAAGTTAGTTTTTGTACTTGGTGGTTGCAACAAACAGACACCATTGAAGGTTATCAGAAGTGAGGAACAGAAAATGAAATAATTATTTTAATGTTTAGAGCAGCAGGAACTCCGAGAGGCTGCAGGCGCATCAGTGAGTTTGCGGCAGCTGTGCAGGGGGAGGGGGGAGAGGGCTGAAGCAGAAACTACCGTTGTTAAAAGAAATGTGTTTAACTTTGAAAATGTGGGCGCAATTTTAATTGTCAAAAACTCCAGCGAACCATTACTTCATTTTGCTCAAATAGAAACAGAGACCTGCCTCTAATACTGGCCCTCCTTCCAATAAAGGCCTGGAGCTTGATGAGCTTCAGTCAAATACAGGCCCGGGCCTGTATTAGAGGATTTACGGTACGCTATATTAAATTGACACTGGCTGAGCTCTAGGACCAAGTGGAAAACAACTGTTTGTGTTGAAGCCTGTTTCCCATTAGAGCATACTGTAAAGATACCCCCCCACCCCCGTGTCCCCCTACTTCTAAAGTGAAAATTACGTCTATGACTAAACATGTGCCATATCTGTGACTGGGTATTATAATAAGACTGGCTTGTTAGAGAGACAAATGTCAAGCAGAGCTATAGCTAATTGTCACATGATCAGTAAAAATAACTAACACATAAAAAATTTTAAAAACAGAATCCATCCATCTTGCAGGTAATTGATGATATTTAAGACTTTTTAAGGTATAATTTAAGCTCAAACACGACTAAACAAGTTTACTTTGCTTCTATGTGCAAAACATTTTCACTTTTTGGACTTTATTGACTTTTTGTTTGGATTCCTGACTGAGCATCCTTCAACAATATGATATGAGCCTGGTCATTCCAAAACAATAACCTTGCTTTTCATCTGAACCTTTTTTGTTGTTGTTGTTGTTCTGCCTTTTAAGAGTCGGGTCAATTTTTTCTACTCAACAGCCTTTTTCCTTTTTAATTTTCCGATTTAATTTAAAAAAATCTGTCTCTGATTATCTAGGATAGAAACAGCTGATTAGGTTAAAACATGAGAAAACCAAAGTGGATGTTTCATTAATGGGACATCTTTGTCCAAAATTGACTCTTTATTCCTGAAGGTGTGAACGGGAATTTCTTTGATTTGTTACTAATCTGTGAAAGTGGTGAAGTCAAACCTTGTCAGGGATGAAGACCTCAAACTGGTTTGATAAATATTCCCAGTTAAAACAAGAAAAATGACTTTCCAAATCACAAAATGATCCCATCATAAATATACCGTTAAAATATGAATATAAATGATATTTTTTAAAAATCCTTCCATTCTGATTTAAATTATTTGACGCTGACTTTACCATCAAAATAGTTCATGAAGACCCATCAGCTTTTTGCATCGGCTGATGTCATTTTTTTAACATATCGGTATCGGTCCGGTTACAACCAAATATATGAGGGGGTTGATAATGAGTGATTGTTTAGTCATGAGATCAATCGCTGGATATTTAGGAGTGTGTCATGGCAATGACCTGACGATACAATATAAATCTCAAAACAAGAGAGAGGATATAATTTATTGCAATATTAAAATAAATTTTATTTGTAAGTGCCTTTCAGGACTCTTAAGGTCACTTTAACAGAAATTACATGATACAGGTTAAAACACTCTTTAAGTTAAAATACAAATCAAACAGTTAAACAGACACAAAATAAAAATGGAAACAGTAAAATGCTAAAATACTAAACTAACAATTCAAGTTTAAATTATCAACAGATAAGTCGTAAATAATCAATCAATAGATCATTATTATAAAGATATACATTGCACATTAACACGTTAGTTAAAATCTACATGACAGAACATTAGGAAGTACATAGTCAAGCAAATGTTTGCAGTTACATTAGGTATTCGAGAAAGCCGGCCTGAATAAATACATTTTCAGTAGTGATTTAAACTGGATGATAGAATTGGCCATACGGTTGTCTGATGGGATACTATTCCACAACCACGGAGCCAGTGAGCCAAAAGACGTAAGACCCATAGAGGATAGACGGACTTGAGGTATAACAATCAAATTACTGGAAGTCGAGCAAAGTGTACGAGGTGGTGTAGACTGAGTAGACACGGGGGCCATATTGAGTTTTAAATGTTAAAAGTAATATTTTTAATTCAATGCGGTAACTTACTGGGAGCCAATGAAGCTCCTCAAGAATAAGAGGAATTTGTTGAGAGGAGGGTGTCCGGTTAATGGTATGTGCTGCCGCATTCTGTACCAACTGAAGTTTGTGAAGAGGTTCCTGTGGTAGACCAGCGAGTAAGTCATTACAGTAGTCCAGATGAGATGTAACCAGGGCATTTACAAGAATCTTAGTGTCATTTACAGTCAAGGATAAACGTAATCGATTAATGTTGCGCAAATGACAGTACGTAGACCTAACCAATCCATTTACATGCACATTAAATGAGAGAGTGTTATCTAAGATAACACCAAAACTTTTAACCTGAGCTGACAATGAAATAGGAGGATTATCAATATTGAGTGATAGGTTATGAGATCTGACCGTTTTTGATTTGGTTCCAACTATGAGGAGTTCTGTTTTATTACCATTAAGTTTCAAGAGATTATGAGCAAACCAGGTCTGTATTTCACTTAAGCACCTTGTTATAGTCATAGTAGGTAGTGACTCAACCAATGAAGAAGAGATATACAGTTGAGTATCATCTGCATAACAATGAAAGTTTACATTATACTTCCTTAAAATTTCTCCTAGCGGGAGAATGCAGATATAAATAAAATCTGACCCAAAACTGAACCTTGAGGGACCCCACATGATAAGTGGTGTGAGGTGAGATTTGGATGACATTATTTGAACAAAATGTGAACGGTCAGAAAGGTACGATTTGAACCATGAAAGTGCAGTGCATAAAAGTCAGACAATATTTGCAATTTTTTGGACTGAACTTAATTCAACAACTCAGGTCAGATGCTTGTAAATCACATTCAGTGCCATCACCAGAGTTTATGATGGTGGTGGTAAAACTGCTGTCATCTAGCAGACTTTGAATTGCACAGCACACAATAAAGTAAATGTTTGCATGTAAAATCTCAATAAAAATCTATACACTGGTTTCATATAATGGTTCAGTATCTGAACACAAAATATTGGATATTTCAGTGTGGTTAACTTCTTACATTTCTACTTATCTAAACGTAATACCGGTGAATATCGGTTATCTGATTTAGTGACAATATCGGATATCGGCCTACATTTTCACATTGGTGCATTCCTGGTTGGAGTCCATTAAAGGGATTTAGAAGAAGCATTACCATTCTCATCAATAGTCTCGCTGCAGGTCAGATTTCCCACCAACAGACATGTTTTTGTCTACTTCAGCAAGTCCTGAAATGACTTGAATCCCCCGCGTCGAGCTCGTGCACTCGTCTTTCTTCACACACACAATGTGAGTAACTGGATCCTCTTCCAGACCTGCTTAGACATGATGCTCACACTAACAACTAACAAGTAGACAAACATCTCATAAAACTTTTATTACTGTATTCCAGATGCACAATAGATATTTCACATTTCTTAGTGAAAATTTAAATAACACAGATTCACCTCACAGTAGTGACATGGCAGCTTCTGAAAATGAAGCCCAAAAATCAAAAGGTGTGCCAACTTCCAACTTAAAAGTCAGAAAATCAGCAGGGCCTTCTGAGACCGATTCCCTTGTTGAAAAGGCAAATGGTTTGGGGGTAACAACCCAACAGTGACAAGACATGTATTGCACTATTACTGCTATTAAAGGCTTCTGATCTTGAAATATAAATATGCAGAAACATTTGGGCACACACACACACACACACACACACAAACATCCTTCAGCTGGGGCATGCAGTTCAACTGATTTGCGAAGTGCTTCGACCTCCATGTATAAGTCCTGTTGCATTAGACGTTTCTGTACATATACAGACTTTTTATTCTAACAACAAAAACGTGATCAAACATTTATAAAACAAAGGGAAAATACCCATTGATCCAAAGCAAAAGCAAACGAAATGAAGACAATACATGTGTACTGAATGGTAAAGAGCAAAAGGACGCTCACGTTTTCTTTAAAGTAAAAGTACAACCGTGTCTGCTTGAAAAATAAAATGAAGACATTTGAAGGCTGCTGCCTTTAAATAAAAGTGTACCAAAACAAGAGAAAAGGGGAGAAAAAAAAACTCAAAATAAAGCAACTTTATGATGATAATGACAGGTTTTTCTAAATGTCCTCAGTCAGTCTCAACAGATCGGAGGATGGAGCCATCAAAGCCACAATGAGCAAGAACACCGCCTCAGAACTGAGGGAGATTTTGGTGTCGCAACGCCAGACCGTCCCCGAATTAGAGGTTGACTGGGAGCGTCGGAGAGCCGAGGCTCATTTCCAACCATGGGACAGAGGAGGGGGTGTAACGCTGCACGGCACGCCGATGAATGCGGCGCAGGCGCAGCAGGTACAGCATGATGGAGAGCAACACGATGAAGAAACAAGCCAGGAACAAGTAGCAGTTGCTGAGAAAAGAGAAGCTGTGTCTCCAGTGAGAGTGTGCTCCTTTCAGACTCTCCTGTGGGATGTCCCTGGAGGAGATGAAAGGAAATGTAAAATATGCTGTTAACAGAGTCATCTGAAGTGTTTCAACAGGCTCACTGATGTTTTTTATTTAATATCAGTTAAGCAGGGACTGTACGAACAGCAGATATTTTGGTGCTTTACAGCGAATAAGAAGGAAAGAAAAAGGCTAAATCAAACACAAACGAGCAGAAAAGGCTTTGAGAAAAATAAACATTATGATAAAATATAGTGGTCATTAAAAACTGCGGCGAGAATCAGACAAATCGTAACAGTTGACATGATCGCGTTGTAAGATTATCACAGATTTTCAGAATTAAATGTCTGGGGTTAAAAGTTGAAACACTGAATAGAAACTGGCAGGTGGAGGTGTGAGAAACCAAAATAGCCGGATAATTCTTCCTCAACATTTCTGCTTCAGTATTTATTCAGGGATCTGGGAGTGGTTTCTGACTCAGGTCTCACTTTCACAGATCAGGTCAGTGCTGTGGTGAAGTCTCGTTTTTTCCAGATTTTCTTGACTTTGGTAGCTCATCAGAACTTTAACTGACCCATTTATTCAGACAATTCTACAGATTTTCTCCCTCAGCTTAAACAAAGCGAAAGTCTACAAACCTGAATCTGTTCCAGCTAGCAGCTGGAAACAATTACACCCCCTTTCTTTAGGGGAAATCCACCACTACACACAGCTCTAGATTACCCAATCATTTGTTCGTGTTGAAAAAAACCGGTTCAGCCGAATGAGATTAATCTGCTCAAGAGCAATGAGGAACAAGATTGGGGCAAACGTGACCCCGGCTTTCCACAGCAGCCGTCAGCAGCACGTTACTGCAGCAGCACGTCATAGCTGCTGATAGGAACGGCTGTGGTCAACAGAACCTTTTCCACAGGAGCCGTCAGCAGCCGTCAGCAGCGCGAGTCGGCCGCGTCTCAGGAGCAGCATGTCGCGGCCTTTACGCGCCGGTTCTATTTCCTACGCGCGACGCCTCTGAAACGAGTCAAGTTCGACATTTTTGGGGAAGGAAAGACAGGAAATCGGACGCGGAAATGGAGAGTAGCTCCCGAGATTTTCAGAATAAAGAACGTACTGCCTTCAGGTTGCTTTACTTTTAAAAAGGTTACTAACTGTGCGGCCCCGTGAGAAGTTATCACCTAGCTAGCGGTCTCCTTTGTTTTTCAGGTCCGTATTGGCGATTATAAAACGGACAGAATATAAAAACACAAACATTTTGGAGCCATGTTGTAGTTTTCTCCTGCTTGTTGTTGTGTTTACTGACGAAGTCACTCGTGTGACTTCGTGCCCTGTCGGTGACAGCTGCTCCTCTGCTGCGTCGCGTCTCGTGGGAAGGGCCAAGCAGCAGCTAGACGTGCTGCTGCAGTAACGTGCTGCTGACGGCTCCCGTGGAAACCCGGGGTGAGAGAGACTCCATCTCACCTCAAAGGTAGGAAGCGAGTTCGGTAGAGTATCGCTCCAAGTGTCCACTGGACCTCCTTTTCATAGACCAACAAGGCGGTCTTCAGGTTTTCGTAGTTCGTGGGGAAGGAGAAGCCGGAGTGCAATACTTCATACATCCATGCTGATTTAAAACACTGATACCTGCAGACAGCAGCACAAAACATCTGGTGAGCAGAGTGTTTGTGACTAAGAAGGTTCCAGGGAAAACCAGACTTACTTCAGCCTGTGAAGATCTGCGTGTGAGGCGTACAGGCCGGAGTCGAAGCGTTTCTTCAGGGTCTTCCACTGGGTGGCGCAGTAACCCTGCAAATAGAAAAATCAGGAGTCTTCAGAGTCAGGAAATAAGCTATAAAAACATCAACCTCGGTTTTCAAAAGCTCACTTCTCTATGTTCTGTTTTCTTTACTGTTGTATTGATTTGTGTGGCGTTACCTTGGCAACCTGGATGTATTTGGATGCGTTATAATCCCCACCCATACGCAACACGTCCTCTGTGCAGTAGTAGAACTCAGAAAAGCCATAAAACTGGCTGTTTCTGTAGTCTATCGCTGGCTGGTAGACGCCGCTGAGTGAGGACTGCGTGTCGTTGGTGCGGTTCAGGAACGGCTGGAGAAGCTGCCTACACCGGTCAAAGTCCCCCGTCCCTCGCAGGTAGAGCTTCTGTGCGGGCGATCCGATCTCATCCTGCAGGTCTGTGGGAAGACACGGGTCTAGGAGCGGAGACTCCGCCGTCTCGCCGACATGCTGGCCTAAGAGCCTAAGGAGATCAGCAGACGCCGGGTTAGTATGCAGCGTCGTGTTCCCACGTGATCAGAAAGGTAAAACAGAGCTCACCGGTTGCGAGTCACGGTGTTTCTGACGAAGCTCTCCTCGTACCTTTGGCGCGCCGCGTTTCCTCCAAACCCCAGGAAGGTGGAAACGTAAACACGGTAAACGTGATCTGTGCTGTGTGCGTCACAGCCGAGGTTGAACTCGGCCAGTAAGTTCTTAGCGACTTCCTCCTTTTAAAGAAGCGGAAATCAGTTTAGGAAATAGTGAAAGGCTTGAAATGTCTACATGGGTTTCATTCTCACATAACAAACTAAACAACTATATGAAAATAAGAATTAAAGAGTGTAATCAGGAAAGACTAGGGTGCAAAAACAGCTTTTTGTAAAGAAATGATTAAAAAACAAACAACAAAAGACTTAATTTGACAAGAACAAAGACCACTGTGTTCAGAGTTCTGGTGTTTCCAGCCTTAAATCCTGTTCTGGACTCATGCAGCTGGCTTGCAGCGTGTGTTCAACAGTGATGGGTGGAGAGAGGATTGTCTCAGAGAAGTTTAACCAGGGAATGACAAAAAATAAAAGTTGGAAGGAGGAAGGAAAAACAAAGTGTAAGTGACAAAACACAAAGACGGCACGAGAACAGAATTGGTCGTGGATAATAACCTGCTGTGGAGAAGCAAAGCTTACAGTTTTGGGCACTTCATAAGCAATCTGTGTGGAGACACCACCCATGTCCAGGACGCCAGCTGTCCTTTTCCTCATCAGCGCCACCTGCTGATCATTTCCTGGGACATGGACTTCCACCACAGCATCCTCATCTTGATAAACAGCAGAAAGAAGTGTCAGAAAGTAGCCACGGCTCTCAAAGAGATTATATGTGATAACCAAGCTGTTTAGAAGCTTATAGACATTACACCTGAGTACTTACCATCGTGCACGTGGTTAAATCTTCCAAGGACAAAATTTATCCCAATCCATGCATAGACACCTAAAAAGAAAAAAAAAAATTCAAAAATCGATGTTATTTTTACATAAACTTAATACAATTAAATTTTGTGTCAACCCATCAGCAAAGGTGGTGGTAATAAAACTCTACATGAAATAGATTTTAGCTAAAACACTGTTTATATTTGCAAATATCTTTAAATCTTCCATTACCTTCTTGTTTTCCAGAAATCACCTCCACATGGGAATCAGAGAACAGGAAGTTAAAGTCGACTGGGATATCTGTGCGTAGATCCTCGAGAAGGGCTTCTTGTTGACTAAATAGTTACAAAAACATTTAATTTTTAGGTGTGATCAACCCTGAGGTCTAATTACTTCCACACGAATGAACAGTTTAAAGTACGTATCGCCAATTCTGCCTATGTTTACTTCTCAGGTAGGATTCTCATTCCAGCTGTGCAAAGGATGTACAGGGGTGTTTCCTGGTGCTTATATTTGGGAATGTGTTGAGCTGCAAAGCTTAGAAGTGGCTTGATGTAATCACTGGCTCTTTCGGGTGTTTTGGCCAATTCAGAGATCCCTGCAGGGGGAACACCAGACATACAAGAATGCATTTTACTGTAAATATCTAGAACAGACTAAATCCCCTCCTTTAGTGTTCTGATGAGCAGTGAGCATCTTACCAGGCTTGATCTTCATGACCACTGGCTTCCGGTGCACATCTTTCATTTGCCGGATGTCCAGCAGTTCACGGGGGTTACCGTTGTGCTGAGGCCAGCAGTACACAAACACCCTGGAGCCACTGCTGCCACAGTCCACCACCAGGCCAAAGTTCAGGTTAGGGTTGCTTGTGTCTGTGGCATCTAGATCCGTAACTCTCGCCAGGCGCCTTTTAAAAAACAAATCATTGTTGAGGTGGACTGCATGTTGTATCAATGATACCCGATGATGAAAACTTTGGTTTAAAGTACCGGTGGAAGTTGTTTTCCTTTGTTAAAAAGCTGGCGTGTCCCCTTGCAGCAGCAAGCAGCAGGTAGACCAGTCCTATGAGGAAGATCACCAGGCTGATGAAGAGCAGCTGTCGGAGAGAAGGTACCAGAAGGCGAGGAAGAACCTGGGATGACAGGCTGAAATGCCATGAGGCTGGGAAAAGGCAGGAAAAGCTGATCCTGGCAACAAGAATAACAAGAAACTTAAATGTCACAAATAGGAGGAACATGACTAAATCAAATGAAAAGTGCCACAATAGCAACTAAAACCCACCTTCCCATGGTTCAGATCGTCTTACTGGTTTATGACTGATCAGTCGGCTGAAGGAAGAAGATTTAGCTCACCCCACTGCTCCATTGTCTGTAAGTCACTTGTGTCTGTGACCTAAAGGAGACATCACAAACTTTAAAGGTCTTGCTTTTGAATCCTAAAGGCCCAGCAGAAGTGTCAGGTGTCCGGAAATGAGATAAAACCGAAGCCTGTGTACAAGTTTCAAAGATCGGCGTAAATGTACTAAAAATGACAAAAATAAAACTAGTTTGTTAAACATCTGTCCGTTTATAACAAAAACACGGGTTTTGAATAGGATAAGTATCGCGTGACTTCGTATGATTGAAAACGCGAGCAAAAATATACTCTAAATTCCTCAATTTAATGGATATTAAATTTTAAGACAGTAATTTTATCCACCATATGCGACACTTACCAATAAAGCCCGTTGTTTCAGTAAACATGCTTGTTACAGAGCAACAGCCAGATGCTCACCGCTGGCTAACGTTCACAGCTTCGCTAAGTGACGTGTTACAGTCCATGGTGTGTTTGATTTTAGTCTCCGCGCATCCCGGAGCAAAAAACAAACACAAAACAAGTGAAACGGAAATAACAGATTTTCTTTATTTGACAAATAATGTTAACCACTATTAAAACCATAACGTTTACCTATCAGCGATGCCACAACTATTTATATTAGACACGTATGTGTTGTTAGACAAAAGGTGGCATAAGCTTTTTAAGTTCTACCTCAGTAAATTATTATTTTAAGTTCCATTCGTATAAAACTCCTCCGAATATTCTATTACTTCCAAAATATTTTACCCATGTTACTCTCAAAATGTGCGTTTACTGTCTCGTTCCTGGTTGACGTACAAAACCGGGCAGTCCAGTTAGCAACACAAACCAACACCAAAACTGATCCTTTCTTTTGCACTTAATGCTGTGTTGTAACAGGAATTAAGACTCATTACTGCCACCTAGTGTCTCTTTTCTAGAAGGCACTGCTAAGAAAATGCATCCAATTGATTGCGCTGCCAATTTCATAACTTCTGATGAAATTTTTACGTAGTGATGCAGAATTTATTTTGTCAGTTTCTTTTTAGTGTTTCGGTTCAACTATCAGAACTTTTTCTACAAGCAATAAAAACTATTTGAATTATTTTGGTGCTTTTTAGTCTGACACCGAAGTGTAGTTGTACAATAAAACCAAACTATTTAACACCATTACTTGATATTACTCATTCTAATTCTAACTGATAGTAACATTATGGATGAAGACTAAAAAGCACCAACACTAATGAGGCTAATGGCATAAGCTTGAGTGATATTTATTTTTTAGCCCAGTGTGCTGTAGGCATACAAACAGGTCTTCAAAAATGTTTAAGCAGAAAAACAAACAGGCAAGAAATATTTGTAGAAACTTTGTTGCAAATTACTAAAATACCACTAAAGATATACAAGTCTTGATGTTATTTGGATTAACTTTTTAAAAGACAAAAAATCTGATGAAGCACACACACAAACACACACACACACACACCACTGTGAATGTAAACCAATGTGTGACATAAACATAAGCAAAAGAGTTGTAGAAATAAGGATTGTTATGGTTATAAAACTGGCAGTGCATAAAGTGTTTTTTCATAAAATCCAAGCCACTGTTCGCCGTCCTTCAAGTGCTTAATGACTTAAAAACTTGCCCCGTCTTCTTCACACCCAGACAACTTCCACTTTTCTGGCCCTCTTGATCTGCGACCACTGGAGCTGACTGATCTGCCAGCAGTAACTTACATCCACATGCTTCAGCCTTTTGTTCAGCTGAATTAGGCTTTTCACTGTTATCATCTGCACATCTGTTCGCTTCAGATCAACCCGCTCCAGCCGTCCAAGGGGTACATCTGGGGAATTCAAGTTCACGCTTTGCAACGTGTCCTGTAAAACACAGTCCAGCGGGCATGGCAACGAGACCAGGGAGAGCTTCTCCAGTAAAGGAGAACCAATCAGGAGACACCTGAGCACCTTCTTCAGGGACATCCAGGACATGACAGGCTTCATTTGACTGTGCTCATAGGAGAAGCTTCAAACGTTTGGGAAACAGAGAAAATAAAATGAATAGTTTGTTTTTGATGTGTGCAATAAATAAATAAATAAAATAAATAAAGTTGTCTAAATCTACTAAAAATTGTTCCTAAAAAGTACCTGAGGCTGAGAGAGCAAAGGTGAGGAAGCTGTGGGAGTGCCACATTATCCAGCTGATCGTTCTCATCTTGCTCCTGTGGTAAACTGGGAGGCTCAGCGGAGATCAGCAGGTCTCGGAGTCTGGGGCAGGCCCTGATGACCTCCAGTAGAGGAGAGTGAGGACTGGTTTTCACCCCATCCAGACTGAGAGAAATCAGCCAGGACCCTGCCACTTGCAAAGGGAGGAGGAAATCCGCTAGAGGGCCGTTGCAGTGAAATGAAAGCGTTTGCAGCTGTCCTGACCACGTCTGGAGGTCCAGCAGACACTGTCGCCGTCCTCTCCCACTGCTATGTTCATTTCCATCAATGTTCATAGTTATGGACCTAATCCCTGGACATAAACGGCCTAAACTCTGAAGGGAATCAGAAGTGACGCCTCTAACATCCTTCAGCTGAAAAACCAGACCTGAATGAGACAAAAACGCACTTTTTCCCTCGGTTTGGTTCTGAAAACTAAACTTTTCATCTCTAGCAGTATCATTCTCATCTTCCTCCAAGTACATCCCCTCTTCTTCTTCCCTTTCATCTCCTCTTTCACCCGATGCTACATCTTCAGATGTCTTGCCTTGCCACTGAATCCTCTCTCTCCACACTTCTTCCAGCCTGGGAACTCCCTCCCTCTCAGCGAACCCGTCTGCACGGCTGAACTCTTCTTGCTCAAGGAGACAGCAGGCTTGTGAGAGGCCCTCCAGGGCAGCTCTCTCCAGGTAAGGCAAGGACAGGAGCAGATAGGCTGCTGCTACTGTAGAGTCTTCCCCCTGTTCTGTAAACCCTATATCCAGAGCCAACAGGCTGCTGAGAGGGAGAGGACATGGGGCTGGAGTAATGGAGGGGAGGGCAGAGGAGGACACAGAAGACAATGACGAAGATGACGAGGAAGAGGCTGGATAGACACCTCCAAGAGGAAGCAGTGCAGCTGGGAAAAGCAAATGACACCGCGATACGTCAAGATGTTTCAGCGAACGACAGCAGCAGGCAATTGTCTGGATTACGCTCCTGTCACATGGCACGCCAGCCAGGGAGAGTGAGCGAAGAGCAGGTAGTCTGTGGATGGTTTCACACAGAACTTTTGAGGGGATCTGCTTGGCTCCAGAAAGGTCCAGAATGAACAACCCCTAAGAAACAAAAGGAGACATCTAAATTTTCAAGACAAAAAATTAAGAGAATACTGAAAGTGTTCTACCTGGCAACGTGCAGCAATGTGAGCACAGAGTCCCGGGGTCACCAGCGCTGAGCACTTCTCCAGAGTCAGGCCTCGGAGCTGGGGCACCAGCAGGAGGTGAAGAGCTGCTCGAGACAGCTGCTTCCTGCTGCACAGCAACAACATCAGCTCCTCTATGAGATCGCCTGCTGCAGACATACATGAATGAAAATATAAACGCCTGCAGCAACAAAAGGCAATCACTCGTTTGTGCCACATAATCTGTCACAGACTCACGCAGTATGTTGAAAGGCCCCATAATGTATCTGAATGTATACTGGTCGAGGTAGTTGTCAGCGTAGTCTTTCACCCACACATCCTTCATGTTGTCAGCCACGTTTGACAGACACAAGTACTTCAGCGAAAAGACAGAGGAATCATCCTGTGCCCTCCTACCAAACCCCTTCCTCCGCCGGGGCTGAACTTTGACCCCAGCTTGTTCACCCAAAGCTCGAAACAGAGGCATGATGGGGCTTTACTGGCTTCTGCGCTAAAGGAGGACGATGGACCTGTGTGAAACATCACAAATATTTTCTGGAAAACATGATTACGTTTTCCATTTTTACGTAACTGTATAATATCTTAATACGTTTAAAATACATATGTAGTCTTGGTACACTTATCAGTATTTAATAGCATAGGGCTAAAAAATCCACACTGTACACTCACTTGCATATTCACCCAAGAACTGTTATTGTTATGGATTTGTTTTTTAATAACTGTTTACATCCAGTTAGCTAAAAAGCGACAGACACGTGAAGAGTATAATCAGTATTGTATAAAAACTCATACCGCAAATATCGTACAGCTCTGAAAATCTGTTCAGTAGAAAGAATGAAGGAAAATTAAAGTGTGAAAGTGTTGCTAGTCTTTTCCAACTGGACTTCCGGTTTACTTCAGGATGGTGAAAACCCTGAGCTCTGTCTTCCAGGAACACTTTTTCTCTCGGACGGTGCGGCAGGGGCAGGTTTGTTTCAGACGAATAAAAGTAATCGAGTATTCCTCAATTAAAGGCTCAAGACCAAACCAGGAACAGACAACATGTATTTTAAAAATGTATGACAATGAAGATTAGTCTCAGTGGTACCTGCGAGTTTATGCGTAGGGGCCTAACTCCCAAGTTAGATGCTCGAGGTACAGACATATGATAAATATACAGGTGCTGGCCAGTAAATTAGAATATCATCAAAAGGTTGAAAATATTTCAGTAATTCCATTCAAAACGTGAAACTTGTACATTATATTCATGCAATGCACACAGACCAATGTATTTCCGATGTTTATTACGTTTAATTTTGATATTTATAGGTGACAACCAATGAAAACATCAAATCTGGTATCTCAGACAATTAGAATATTCTAAAGGCCAATGAAAAAATGTTTGTTTCTCTAATGTTGGCCAACTGAAAAGAATGAACATGAAAAGAATGTGCATGTATAGCACTCAATACTTAGTCGGGGCTCCTTTTGCCTCAATAACTGCAGTAATGCGGCGTGGCATGGACTCGATCAGTCTGTGGCACTGCTCAGGTGTTATGAGAGCCCAGGTTGCTCTGATAGTCGTCTTCAGCTCCTCTGCATTGTTGGGTCTAGCGTATTGCATCCTCCGCTTCACAATACCCCATAGATTTTCTATGGGGTTAAGGTCAGGCGAGTTTGCTGGCCAATCAAGGACAGGGATACCATGGTCCTTGAACCAGGTGCTGGTGGTTTTGGCACTGTGTGCAGGTGCCAAGTCCTGTTGAAAGGTGAAGTCTGCATCCCCATAAAGTTGGTCAGCAGCAGGAAGCATGAAGTGCTCTAAAACTTCCTGGTAGACGGCTGCATTGACCCTGGACCTCAGGAAACAGAGTGGGCCAACACCGGCAGATGACATGGCACCCCACACCATCACTGACGGTGGAAACTTTACACTGGACCTCATGCAACGTGGATTCTGTGCTTCTCCGCTCTTCCTCCAGACTCTGGGTCCTTGATTTCCAAAGGAAATGCAGAACTTGCTTTCATCAGAAAACATAACTTTGGACCACTCAGCATCAGTCCAGTCCTTTTTGTCCTTGGCCCAGGCGAGACGCTTCTTGCGCTGTTTCTTGTTCAAGAGTGGCTTGACACACGGAATGCGACACCTGAATCCCATGTCTTTCATGAGTCTCCTCGTGGTGGTTCTTGAAGCGCTGACTCCAGCTGCAGTCCACTCTTTGTGGATCTCCCCCACATTTTTGAATGGGTTTGTCGTCACAATTCTCTGCAGGGTGCGGTTATCCCTAGAGCTTGTACACTTTTTTCTACCACATTTTTTCCGTCCCTTCGCCTGTCTGTTAATGTGCTTGGACACAGAGCTCTGCGAACAGCCAGCTTCTTTAGCAATCACCTTTTGTGTCTTGCCCTCCTTGTGCAAGGTGTCAATGATTGTCTTTTGGACAGCTGTTAAGTCAGAAGTCTTCCCCATGATTGTGGTGCCTTCAAAACAAGACTGAGGGACCTTTTAAAGGCCTTTGCAGGTGTTTTGAGTAAATCAGCTGATTAGAGTGGCAGCAGGTGTCTTCTATATTCAGCCTTTTCAGAATATTCTAATTTTTTGAGATACCAAATTTGGAGTTTTCATTAGTTGTCACTTATGAATATCAAATTTAAATGTAATGAACATTGGAAATACATTGGTCTGTGTGCATTGCATGAATATAATGTACAAGTTTCACGTTTTGAATGGAATTACTGAAATATTTTCAACCTTTTGATGATATTCTAATTTACTGGCCAGCACCTGTATATGATCCATGACTCAAAGTACAGATTAATGCTGTAGGTTTTACGACATTAATAAAAAAAATATACCTTAAATTATAAATTACCTCAAGGATAATAATGTATTGAGCATAAAAGAAAACTAAGAAATACATCAGCAATGCAGAAAACTTGAGCTAAAAACGTCCTTCAACACACCATGTGGGGCCCATATGGTAATGTGATGGGACAGACAGATCTTGTTTGGTCCCATCCCAGTAAGGAGCCAGGTGGCTCACATTAGAGTGATTGCAGGGTGGAGTGAGTCATCTAATAAAAAAAGCTGCTTGCTCTTTCAGCAGGACAGCTTGGTGCTTCAGGTGCTGGGGTAATGAGAAACCCCAACTGCAAGCAGTGATTGTAAGTACTCTCCCTTCTGTGTTGTGCGGCATTAGCTAATGCTCGTTGCTCCATCTTAATGTGTTTTGTATCGTGTGATCGCAGACCGGAGCTGCATATGCTGTTGGTGTCAAACTGCACCCATGGGTTAACCCAGGGTGGTGTTGTTGCAATCGCCTTTTTCCTTTATCACAACTACCACTTGCCACAGTAAGATAACCATATGTCCTCTTTTTCTCGGAAATGTTCACTTTTCATTCTCTGTACAGTAAATTTACATATCGGTTAAATAGGGGTTAGTAGGTGAGGTGCATCTGAGCCAATGAAAAAGCATCAGCTTCCCTATTGGTGATATGTCACGGTGGTTCACGCTTTGGTGCACTGTTCGAAGGCTAAAGTCTCCGAGTAACCTGTAACATCCAGCTGCTGCACCACTGAGGGGAGGGTGACTGTTCTTTCCGATCCGTCAAATAGCATGCACTTCCAGTGACTTGTCACTTTTGTGTATTAGGACACGTACAACTTCAACATAATTCTTTGAGATCTGTTGGGTCGATCTAAATAGATTTGTGTTAAAGGAAGGTTGACCATGAGCACAGCTCCGGAAGTGGCCTGGACTGAGTCATGAAGGATGGTGAGATGTGTCTGCTGCATGAGTACGTCCAAATCTCCAACATCTTTTGCCACTCTGTATCCATGTCACTATCTGGGTTGTGTTGAGTTTCTTGAACTCATCACAAGAGTTTAGATAATGGTCTGTGTTACAGTGAGGGCAACAAGCCTTGGGTTTGGTGCCGGCCTTTGACGGAGTGAAGGGTGAAGGCTGTGGTGTATCCTTATGGGTCAGCAGAACTGGTGTAGTCTTATCTCTAGGTGGTCCAGTTTTATTTGACTTTAGTTGTTTACATGATTCAGTATAAAAGAGCGAAGTAGCCCGACTGGAAATTCGTTTGGCCTGTAACTTGAGCCATTCAGCTAGATCTGGGAGGGTATACGTCATGTCCGTACCAGTTTGTATGATGCCCCGACTTAGACAGTGTTCAATAAAGTTATCACAAAGATTTGCAGGCATTTTGCTCAGGAGGCAGTCCACATGTGAGCCACACATAAGCTCATAGCTATTTTGGCCTTCAAGTGTCCTTAACATGCCCACTAACGTCTGTACAGCTAGGGCAAAGGCATCAAATGCTGCAGCATCTCCTGGTTTGAACGCTGGCATGTTTAAGATAACACCCAGTTCTGATTGGACACGCTGTCGTGGCTGACCATACTTATCTTGGAGTGCTTGAAGTGCAGCAGTGTAGGGCTGAGGGTGGTACGTGTATGCTTTAGCTAATTGCAGCGCACTAGGAAACTTTAGTTGACCAAGAAGCACCTGATATTTGTACGCCTCGCTGAGATGCGTGTGTGTGTGGCTGCTCACAAGGTTGTCAAGTGGCATCTTAAGTAAAGCAAAGTCACTCTCAAGAGAGGCAGTGAGGGTCTGGGAATGCCATATACTGAGGCAATCGGTAGATCAGTTCTGGGTAGAGATGCAGGACTTGGCTGGGGAGCTGTAGTTACTGTAGCAACTGGATATGGCATCGGATGGTAACCAGATGGTACTTGAAAGTTAATGTCTGGCGGAGCTGTAGCAACTGGAGCATGTTGCTGAGAAGTGCACCTGGCTGTCTGGTATATCAGCTCCAGACATGGCAAAGGCAGGAGAGACCTTTTAATCGCTGGGATACTTGAGGTTGCCGTTACTGCGGGGATGACAGATTGGGCAGTATTGTTGACTGTAGAGCTAGTGGGTACAGCAACCTGCCAAGTCTTAGTTAACGGCTGATGAATGGACACTGATTACTCACTCTGAATTGAGGTGGTGAGATGTAACTGTCAGGAGTCAATGGTGGTTCAGGTACCGCATTGTCCACATCTGAGGAGAGAAGTGAAGTGACCAGTTTAGCCATCTTTAGTTTCCTCTCTGCCTTTAAGCGACGACTCCTGTCCTGATGCTTATATAAAGCCTCTGTAGCCTGAAGTGCTTCCTTTTGTGCACACTGGGCTTCCTTGACTTTAGTTTGCAAACAGTGATACTCCAAATCAGCGGTTGAGCCCTCTTCCAGCTGCCGCTTTAGGTCATCTAGCTCAAATTGCCTTATCTCTTCCTCCAAAAGAGCAGTCTGCACACTATTGAAGGCTTCAGATGGAGGATAGTGGCCAATAGAAGACATAGCTCATACTACATTTGGATATGGAGCAGGACCTAGAACTGCCTGATTTCCTAGTTAGGCTTTGACAATGGCTGCTGGAGTGGGATGAAGCAGCTGTAGGATGAGGCAATAGAGGTCTGTATCCAACATCATAATCTTCTAGATGAGAGCAAGTGACGCTTTCTGCGTGGCCTTGCCTCGAGCTCTGGAGTGTCTGCAGTTGCTTCTGTCTTACTGTATGCTAGGGTGCACTCAATCCGGCTTGAAGGACCATGTAATATAGGCAGTATTCTTAGAGCCTACTAAATTTAACTGGTTGAGGCGGTAGCGGTATGACTAGATTCTGGTTAGAGAATCTGGATAGAGATGGGATGGCATTTAAGAGGATTTATTTATGAACATACGATGTATAAGTGGATCCTAATGTCCATAGCGCACGGGAAACATGTTCACAATGAGCAAACGGCTCCACTCCTCTGTAGCACCAGAAGACATGTGCATACTGCTGACTCGAGTGGTGAAATTAAAGGGTTCAGTCTATGTAGTGCTTGCCCACCAGAGGGTGCAGCAACTAGGCTTTATTTATTTATTTATTTTTTACAGAGAAGCTAGTGTGACCACACATCCTCTTTTCCCCGGATATGTCCACTTTTCACTCTCTGTCCGGAGGCAGGGATCGAATTATGGAGGAGCTGGATATCCTACACATCCAGGGAGAGCCAGAAAAAAGGTTTCTACCTATATTACATCATTTATGGACTCTCCGTGTACCAGATAGTCTTTTGAGCAGAGGGCACAGAGAGCTGCAAACGCTGATCGTTGGTGCGCTCCAGGCAACTGCATCCAGGGCACGGTCCATTCTCAAAGAGCAAAAAGAGGCACAACCAAAAAACTACAACGATCGTTCATGTCTACTCATGTTCTCTACTTTCTGTCTTATTTGTGCCTGAAGCGCTCTGCTACTGCAGAGCTCATCACATGTGCTTCGGTGATTTCACCTCACTGATGCAGCATCGAAACGAGCAGTCTGCTTTGCGGTCAGGAGGTGCCTTTGATCTGCTCAAAAGTAACTGATGAGGTGAAAAAGTAAGAATCCAGGCAGCAGTTTTTTTTTTGGAGAATTTGGAGGAGATTCAGGAAGATGAGAGAGACAGGACAGGAAAATAGTTAACTGTAACATGATGAAGAAGCTATTCCACCGAAGGTTATTAACCCTCCCTCCACAGATGCCTCTGACACAGTACTAATCTGCATGAGACTGCCTCAAGGTCATGCAGTTGCTTCTAAACTGCTTCCTTTCCAGCTCAAGAGAAGAATGAAGATGAAGGACTCTTTCCTTTTAATAAATCAAAGAACTCTATTTTTAATACACAACAAGTGTTAGTCAATAATATAATGTTGACCAATCTGTGAAATGACAATGTTGTGATTAGTATGCTTTAATAAGTAATATGACTAATCTAACTGCACTAGACACTCTGATGGCACATAATGCAAACACGTGACACATTGCTTACACATCCAATCAGAACCTTCCTTTCTGAAGCGTGGCATAGTCTCTGTTGTGTTTATATATCTGCCAACTTTGATTTGACCAGAAATCAAAACATCCAGATTAATAAAACCAGTCCCACGCCATCTTAAGTACAGTTCTCATCAGTTCACGGGAGCTCTCTGCAGTTCACCGCATGCTAAGAGAAGTAACGGACCAGCCACCGGACTTCCTTTTTAAGCAAAGAACCAACAAGCTGGGTAAAAATCGGTTGCAGTTTACCAACCAAGCAACGGTTCCTTTCAGAATAAAAGCTGAACTCACTGACCCAAGGGGTGCCCATCTGACGCTGTCAACCAACTGTCGCTTTTTACCTGGAGGCAATCCAAAGACTAGTCTGTCGTACTGCTGATGCGGTTTCATCGGCTCTAGTACCAAAAGGGGGGTTCGAGGATCTGGTAGTCTGGATCTGTACGGAGGGCTCATCTGAAGGGTATGTGTGGAGCGACAAATATGGCGTCTCATGTGTTTATGAAACTCCGATCAAACTCCAATCATATCTAAAGCAAAACATCACAACATCATTCAGACTTGCTTCTCCGGATACAAGAGTTCTGATTACAACATCACTCACACATACACCATTCATCTCACGTCTCATTCACACCAGATCCATTCATCACTTAGAGTTAGTCTTGTTAAATATTGTTTAAAATTGTTTAGAAAAAAATCTTAAACATTTTAAGGGTGACTCTCTTTGTCTCTCAGTTAATACAAGTGTTACATAATCCCTGCAATAAAAAGTTCCAATCTTCTGGTTAAAATAACCCAAAGGTCCACAAGGTTGATTTCATATTTGGTATGGAATCTCATGCTTATGGTCCATTAATTAGATGTAAATTAACCCTTTACATAACCCTCCCACTGTAATGGGTGTGACCCCGTGAGAAAAGTTGACCATTGAGCAGGGTTGATGGTTTATCCCTTGGGTCCATGTGGCAGGGGTGCAGAGTGAGCACCACCTCACCCCTGCCACGTGGACCTCAAGGGATAAACCATCAACCATGCTCAATGGTCAACCTCACGGGGTCATCCATAAAGACCGTGGGAGGGTTAAATAAAAACAAGAAAACAAAACAAAGTGTTGAAAAGCAAAAATTAGGTAGATTTATCTCCACTACATGTTGTTTGTATAAAACAATAAGTAATACGCATGGAATATTTATACATTTGATACAGTTCATATCACCTTCAAAACTCAGTCACACACCCAGGGCCGTTTCAAGGCATTTTGGGGGCCAAGGCAAACCTTAACAACCCCTGCCATAGTGTGACATCATAGGCACAGATCCCCATCCTCTGATTTTGGAAATGGAAATAGGGTCACCCTACATCTTTGATACGTTCTTTCTGTGTTTGGCTTCTAATTCCATTTTTGGTTCTTTTTTAAAACACAGGAAAGGTTTCTCTTTACCTTGCTAACAGTTTCATTTGTGTCTGCAAACATCCTCAGAGCTGTGTCAGGACTCGGGTATCTCCCGGCTGACCTTTGGACCACAACTCCCGACATGCTCCTCGTGGGGAGCTCCCAGCGTGCTCCTCGCGGGGATTCCCTCCACGTCACAGCCAAGCAAGGCTATATATGGAAGACGCCGTGACCGGCTTCTCATCTCAGTCATCGTTTCTTCCTCACCGAGATACGAGCAGAGAAATAATAAAACTGTTAAACGTCTCACCTTGTTCGTCTCCTTCATCCAGTCTGATCAGCCCGACAGGATGACTGAGATCCGAGTAGATTCGACGGAGATCGATCGTCTCCGCCACGAGAACGTGCAGCTGCGTTCCATGGTAGATCAGCTCAACACCAAGGTGAACTCCTTGTCCGACCACACCCTGCGTCTATCCACGGCTCTCACGGCTCTCCAACAACAGGCAAACGATCAGCAGCAACAGATCGCTGCACTCCAGCAGCCAACCCGCTCTGCTCCTAGGGAGGAGCCCCACTTCAGCCTGCCGGAGAGGTGAAACGGGGAGACGGGGAGCCCCGATGGTCTGCTCGCCACCTGGACGCTACCCATCTGCGCGCTCCCGAGTGGCGCTTCTCACCTCCCTGCTCTCCGGACGCGCCGCGGAGTGGGCTGCTGCGCTTTACAATTCCAAATCCCCTGCCTGCAACGACTATGCTGCGTTTGTGTCCGCTCTCCGGAAGACCTTTGTTCCCCCCAGCAGCGAAGTGGGAGCAGAGACACGCCTTCTCAAACTCCGCCAGCGAGAACGCTCGGTGTGCGCTTATGCGTCGGAGTTTCGCACCATCTCCGCCAAGCTGCAGTGGAATGACTCCGCTCTGCGGGCCGCCTTCCTGGAGGGGCTGGCACCCTACATCCGTGATGAGTTGGCGGGAAGGGAGCTGCCTCAGACCCTGGATGAGGTGGTTGATCTGGCGCTGCGCATCGACCAGCGGGTTCTGGTTCGACCCAAGTTATCCACGCGTCCACCCAGGACGCCGGTGCCTCGCCCTCGTTCACCCACGCCAGCTCCTGTACCCATGCTGGCGGAGGAGCCCATGCAGCTCGGCCACCTTCCCCCCGAGGAGAGACAACGACGGTGGCGCGAGGGCCTCTGTGCCTACTGTGGCTCTCCCGACCACCGACGCCTGGACTGCCCGCTACGATCGGGAAACGGGGGGCCCCACTGAGTATTGGGGTCGCTCAGTCTGGGTCTTCTTCTACCCCTGTCGCTACTAACCGTCTCCTTATTCCTGTCACCCTCCTCCATGGTGAGGCCTCACTCCACGTAAACGCATTGGTGGACTCGGGGGCCGCGGACAATTTCATGGACCTAGATCTGGCAAAACGCCTACGGATCCCCCTACAACCCCTGGAGAGAGTTATACCAGTGACCTCGGTGGACGGTAGGCCTCTCCAACCCTACCCAGTCCGAGACCGAACCCAGTCACTCCGTATGATCACCCAAGACCACCAGGAGACCCTCCATTTCCTGGTCATTTCTGCTCCCTCTTCTCCTCTAATCCTGGGGTTCCCCTGGCTCCGTCTCCACGACCCTCATATTTCCTGGTCCCAGAACCGCCTGTTGGGCTGGGGGACCTCGTGCCAGACCCACCTCGTTCCTCCTCCATCCTCGGCGGGTCTTCCGGACGGGGGCCCCGGCTCCACACCGCCCCACCTGCCGCTGCCCTATCGGGACCTGGCCGCGGTGTTCGACAAGCGGCGCGCCACCTCCCTGCCACCTCACCGGCCATATGATATGGAGATCAAGCTGCTACCCGGAACCAGTCCTCCCCGCGGGCGCCTTTTCTCTCTCGCGCCTCCCGAGACCAAAGCGATGGAAGAATACATCGCCCAGGCCCTCCAGCAGGGGTTCATCCGACCCTCCTCCTCTCCGGGTGCCGCTGGCTTCTTCTTCGTGAAGAAAAAGGAAGGCGATCTTCGCCCCTGCATAGACTATCGGGGTCTGAACAAGATCACGGTCAAGGACCGCCATCCTCTGCCGCTCCTCACTACCGCTCTGGATGCCATCTCCCAGGCACGGATCTTTACGAAACTGGATCTCCGGAGCGCCTACAATCTGGTCCGTATAAAGGCCGGGGATGAGTGGAAGACCGCGTTCATAACACCCACCGGCCACTGGGAGTACCTGGTTATGCCCTTCGGACTATGCAATAGCCCTGCTGTCTTCCAACGTCTCATTAATGATGTCCTCCGCGACATGCTGGGACGGTGGGTGTTCGCCTATCTGGACGATATACTGATCTACTCCAAATCAGAGGCCGAACACATCCATCATGTTCGCGCCGTCCTGACCCGGCTCCTGGACCACAACCTGTACTGTAAACCAGAGAAATGCTCCTTCCATCAGCAGTCCATATCCTTCCTGGGCTACATGATCTCGGACGAAGGGATAACCATGGACCCTCAGAAAATCCATGCGGTGAAGGACTGGCCCTTGCCAACCAGCCTGAAACAACTGCAGAGTTTTCTGGGTTTCTGCAACTTTTACCGCCGTTTTATAAAGAACTATAGCACCCTCGTAGCCCCTCTCACCTCTCTCACTCGACCAGGCTCCCCTGGCCAGCTGTTTCGTCTAACTCCCGACGCCATTCGGGCCTTCCGCCACCTGGTCACCCGCTTTACCTCGGCCCCGATCCTCCGCCATCCAGATCCTGCAGTTCCCTTTGTGGTCGAGGTCGACGCCTCTGACGTCGGCGCCGGCGCCATCCTGTCTCAAGGCGGGCCCGACGACAGGCTCCATCCCTGCGCCTACTTCTCCAGGAAGTTTTCCACCACCCAGCAGAAGTATGGTGTGGGCGACCGTGAGTTACTGGCCATAAAATGGGCATTGGAGGAATGGAGGCAGTGGCTTCTGGGCACCACTCGGCCTTTCACGATCTGGACTGACCATCAGAACCTGACCCACATTAAATCTGCCAAGCAGCTTAACCCTCGCCAGGCTCGCTGGGCCCTCTTCTTTGAACCCTACGACTTCCATCTCGCCTACCGCCCGGGAGCCAAGAACCAGAAGGTGGACGCCCTCTCCCGCCAATTCACCCACTCCACGCCCTCGTCCGAGCCAGCGCCAATCCTCCCGGAACACCGCTTCCTGGGCCAACTGAGGTGGCCGTTGGAGGAAGCTATCCAGAACGCCCTCCGGGATGACCCCGCGCCTCCAGAGACCCCCGCGGGTCGCCTCTATGTCCCCACGGCCTGTCGCAGCGAGGCGTTGTCCTGGGCCCACTCAGCACGCCTGTCTGGCCACGCTGGTTTCTCCAGAACTCTTAAATTCCTCCAGCGAGCCCTCTGGTGGCCAGGCATGGCGAGGGATGTGAAAGAATACACCAGCGCCTGTGACGTCTGTGCCCGCTCCAAGAACCCCAACCAGGCCTCGGCTGGTGCCCTCCGACCTCTTCCGGTGCCCAGCCGCCCCTGGTCCCACGTGGGGCTGGACTTCGTCACGGGTCTCCCGCCAGTCAATAACCTCAACACTGTCATGACGGTTACGGACCGCTTTTCCAAGTCTGTCCATTTCATCGCCCTTCCGGGTCTCCCCTCAGCCCAACGCACAGCGGAACTGTTCCTGGAGAACGTGGTGCGCCTCCACGGGTTCCCAGTCGACGTGGTCTCGGATCGGGGGCCCCAGTTCACGGCCCGGTTCTGGAAAGCTTTCTGTCGGCTGATGGGAGCATCGGTCAGTCTTTCTTCAGGCTACCACCCGCAGACCAATGGCCAGACGGAGCGGGCTAACCAACAGCTGGGTCGGTACCTTCGTTGTTTTGTCTCGGCTCAACCCTCGCAGTGGCCTAAATACCTCCTCTGGGCGGAGCTGTCCCACAATCTTCACACCTCATCTGCCACTCGGCTGTCCCCTTTCGAGGTCTGCTATGGCTTCCAGCCCCCGGTCTTTGCCCACCAAGAACCCGAGGTCGCCGTTCCGGCAGCGGAAGCCATGGTGAGACGCTGCAAGAGCGCCTGGATCAAAGCACGAGCCTCCATAACCAGAGCTAACACCAGCTATGCTCACCAGCATCTCCGTCGACACCGTCCTGGTCCCTCCTATGCTCCTGGGGACAAGGTCTGGGTGTCCACGGCTGACCTTCGGGTCCGTGCCGGGTCCAAGAAACTCGCCCCTCGGTTCCTCGGCCCATACCCCATCCAAAGGGTCATCAACCCGGTCACGTACCGGTTGCGGCTGCCGGCTACTCTCCGCATCCATCCCACCTTCCATACCTCCCGGCTCAAGCCCTACGTGGAGTCCTCCCTTCTCCCGCCTCCGGCTCCGGCGCCGCCTCCTGCCCGCTTCCTCGACGGTGAGCCTATCTACACCGTCCGGCGCATCCTGGACGCTCGCCGCAGGGGTCGGGGCTGGCAGTACCTGGTGTACTGGAAGGACTATGGCCCCGAGGAACGCTCCCGGGAGCCGGCTCGGTCCATACTGGACCCTTCCCTGATCTCTGACTTCTGGGTCCGCCGGGGTCGCGCTGGGACTTCTGGAGCCGTCCCTGGACCGGGGGGTCCTGTCAGGACTCAGGTATCTCCCGGCTGACCTTTGGACCACAACTCCCGACATGCTCCTCGTGGGGAGCTCCCAGCTTGCTCCTCGCGGGGATTCCCTCCACGTCACAGCCAAGCAAGGCTATATATGGAAGACGCCGTGACCGGCTTCTCATCTCAGTCATCGTTTCTTCCTCACCGAGATACGACCAGAGAAATAATAAAACTGTTAAACGTCTCACCTTGTTCGTCTCCTTCATCCAGTCTGATCAGCCTGACAAGCTGACGCTGATGGTGGCGTCACTTCCTACTCCGTTTATCCGCGGGCAGCAGAGGACGTTGTCGCCCTTTGCTGCCCGCTCTCCCCTCTCCGATGATGCAGTCCCATGCGCGATCCAATGTGTAAACCCCATTGTCCCTGTTCATAGTCCCGCATCCACGTCTCCTTATCTCTATAGCTTCCTTTATCCATCTTTTGTATTTCTGTTGTTCAGTGTTTATGATCCTTGTGTTGAATTAGGGTCACCCTACACAAAACGAAAGGGCAGAGTGAGCACAGACGATCAAAAACTGAATAAAAAATTATGGAGAACAGATAGCTGAGCAGAGAAAATGTCTTATTTTGAAACATCAGAGGTGAAGTGAACATTTCAGGAGCAAATACGATGTTCCCGTTGTGGAGTGGGCGTTCCCATTTATAAACAAAAACACCCCTTTTAGCGGCTAGCCGGATGATATTGGCCATCCCGTGCTACAAGCTGCAGCCAAGAAACTTGCAATCAAACTTGGGGGCTGGACTTTAACTCTGTTCCGATGCGTGTGGAGTGTGCATCGTGACCTCAAGGTCAAAGCCTCTCTGCAAGGCTTGCAAGTGATTTCAGACACTACAACACCTCAGACGTGGAACATCTAACCTGCAGATCGTGGTTGCATCTCGTGGCTGGACTAGAAATCTGCCTCCATTTTCTGCCTTCACTGCTCAAAAGTTTGGCTGTTTAGTCTCCTCTAATAAGGTGAGTTTGTAATTTTCCCGTGTTTATGAACTCATACTTAATTTGTGATGATCTGAGACTTAATGCATCCATGTCCCTCTCAAGTTTACCACTTGACATTTAAGAGCTTGAGGAGTTGTTCCTCCTCTGTCCACGATTGAGAGGTTCCTCTCACTCTGCCTCCATTTTCTGCCTTCACTGCACTAAAGTTTGGCTGTTTAGTCTCCTCTAATAAGGTGAGTTTATAATTTTTCTATGTTTCATGAAATCGAATTCATTTCGCCAAAAGATTTTCTCAGACATAGAATACACTGAAAGGTTATGAGGAGGGTTCTACCTGTCAGTCTTGTCCCACTCCTAGTCATGACATGACTTCTGTTGCGATTTGACACTAATGAATTAAGACTGATTGATTGATGCACTCGTCAGCTTTAGTCCGTGAGTTCAGTTACATGCTTTGTTTGTTAACCGCTATCAAGGAACATGACTCTGTCGTATTCACGAGATGTTGCGAGATTTGTAAACTTCAACGTAGTTTTCGCTGATATTGTAGTGGGCTGTTCTCGACAGAAAATGCCAGGGCTGAATTTTAGTCCCAGTCCCCCCCCTGGCCTCGACCCAGAGGGTGTGCAACAAAAGTGAGGCAATGGACTCCATAGAAGAACCATTAGTGTTCCTGGGTCTAACTACCTGTTGCACGTGGAGTCCCATAACAAACAGAACACTTTTGGAATCATAATAAATGAATGCAGATGTTACATCATATAACCTGGATACAAGCAAACTCTTCCACTTGTAAGCGTAATAAATAGCATGCAACTTTGCAAACAAAATGATTGATTTTAGGGTATTCATAACACAACGTGGGCACAATATTTGATTATTGGCACAACTAAACAGATTCAACAAAACCGCATTTTCTCATGAGCGCCAAAATAGTGTTTAGATGGTTTAATAACGCACATCATGTCAACAGGATCGACTTGTTTAGTGTGACTGAAACGTAAAATGTTTTAACTGTTTTATTTTTTTTTTTAAGCCTCACGCTTAATGGCTGAAATCAGTCCAGCACAGTTTGTCTGAATTTGTCTTCTGTGATAATTTATTTCTGTATTTATCTTTTGGAACTTTGTTTTTCCCTCTTTTCTATCTAAAAAAAAAAACTCTTTTTTGTTTATTTGTAAACAATGATTTTTAAAGTGTTTTAGTTGACTGTTTACATAAAGGGGATTTTCACATGTCAGTGAGGAGAGGAAGTCCCTGTTCAGAGCTCCCCCCCCCCCCCCCCCCCCCCCCCCCCAATTGTTAACTCATATTTGGACAAGTCACGCCCATCTACTTCCGGACCACGGTTCCCTGGAAGAACGAAAACAATGAATGCAAGTCTATGCGGCTAAAAGTGCTATTTTCTATTTCCGTGTGTTATGTGCCATGGATTTCACATATGATGTGAATTTTTAAAGACACATTTTGATGCCAAGAAATTTCTTATTTTTATATTAGGACAAGTTGTTTTAGGTTTTGTGTGTGACTATACTGTACATCCAGGACTACAAACGTGCATCACCAAATTGCCGTCATCGAACCAGAAATGACGAACAGCAGAGGTAAAATGGCTGTAAGTTCAGTGAGCTTTCAAACCTTTCTTCAGGAGGAAAGAACCAGCATAAATCTTGTAATTTAGTACGTGGCTGCAACGCTGGGGGAGAGGAGGGTCTGTAGTGACATCATATATGCAACGTGCCGGCGTATGATTTGAAGTCATAGTAAATACGAATTTTTATAAGCTGACAAATCTCAACGTACAAGACAAGCGTGGTCGAAACACACTTAATTGTTTATTTAAATTGAAGTACAGCGTATTTGTGATTCAGAGAGAAGGCAAAACAGATTAGAAAATAGCTCATTTAGCTCCATTGACATTCTTCTTTTGTTCTTCTGGGGACCCATGAGCCGACCAGAAAGAGACTCCCTTTGGTCACACTTTCCCTTACATTCTTACAAGAAAAATACACAGGTTTGTTTACACATATCCAATAAAGCATTCTGAATCAGTGTTTAAATGAAAAACTAATAAACCAAACTGGATTCATAACAAACTCACTCATTAGAATAATGGAATTATTTAAATAAATGTTAAACAACAGCATGTAATAAATATAAAATAGCTTTTACTGTAACTTTGTGAACTGCAACAGTTGGCACTCCAAATTAATTCTATGAAATTTAACCGTTGAATTGTTGCATTTAGATGGAGTGTATAATGAAGACATTAATTTTGATTAGAGCCTAATTTCACATTCAATCAAGCATGAAGTTTGGATCATCAAAGTTCATATGTCACCAGACTTCCAGATATTAATAGCCTTTTTATGTGCATTTGATTGCTAACATTTGGTTTGTAGCTACTACAAAGATCACATGGGTTTCTAAAGCTTATGCAAACAGAAAAATCTGGCATGTAGGTGAATAAAAAATATAAAAAGCATAAATTTGGCACAATCATTTGAGAAAATTACAAACTTCACGATACTCAAAGTCCCTTTTGTCCAAATGAAATGTCCAACATTCCTGGATGGTTTGACCTACACTAAAGTGCATCTATTCTTCTCTCTTTCAGATCAAAAGCATTTAGATTTCTTGTTATTCATCAACGTTTGTGCAAAAATACATTTCATAAAGTTAGGAAGAGCTTTGTTGTTTGTCTAATTTATCGGAGGCTCTTTGAAGCGGTTTCAGAGATGATTTCATTATTTTCACAAATCAGTGAATGGCACCACCTTCCTCCCAGCTACAAACACCTCCATGATGTTGCGATCGTCGCCTGTCAGAATAGAAAGGTAAATATCAGGAGAAAACCTTCTGGATATAGACAAAAAACCAATAAAAACCAATGAATCCAAAGCGTGGGAGTGCAGTAGGTCAGGAGGAAAGGGTTGTCAGTCAGACGGTTGTAGGATTAATCTTAGATTCTGGCTCCTGGTAGAGAAGGCTGCTGTTGTGTCCTTGGGCAAGACACCCACCTTGTCTGCTGGTGGTGGTCAGAGGGACCGGTGGCACCAGTGGCAGCCTCGCCTCTGCTAGTGTACCCTAGAGCAGCTGTGGCTACATTGTAGCTCATCACTACCTGGGTGTAAATGTGTGTGTGTGTGTGCATGGGTGAATGACTGCTTGTGTTGTAAAGTGCATTGGGGGGTTCTAGGACTCTAGAAGGAGCTAAATCAAATACAGGACATTTACCATTCAAAACTCACCTAGATTCAAGAACTTTTCCAAAAGATTCTGTAATTAAAATGATAAAAAGTGAATAAATCATGTTCTTATTTTGACTTGTGTTAAATAAAGACAGTGCCTAATTACCTTTGGTCTATCAGACTGGATCAGGTCTATGGGTCCACCGGGAGCTGCCACATTAACCCTTAGGGCATCAAAATCTTTCCCCACTTCAAAGTTCCCTGTGTGGTCATCCAGAGACAAGGCTACAAACAGAAGTGTCATCAGAAAAACTAGAGATCGACTGAAATGGGTTTTGCTGATACTGATAACGATATGTAGAGGCTACGGTGGCCGATACGTGCTGCCGATTTTTGTGGCTGATATCTAGAAGTTTTGCACTTCAAAAGCAAGCTAAAATTTCACCAGTAACAACCGTGGATGCAAATGCACCATTTCTGAACCTGAATCGTGTTTGAATTCTGAATTTAACCAACTCTTGAATTTTTATTTTGTGGATTGCTCAGTAATAAAACAAAACATTTAACCAAAGTTAATCAATAAACTGAAAAAGTAATAAATATAAAAAATGTCAGCTGATGATGATGTTTTGTAGCATTTATTAAGCAGGTGTTTTTTGGGAATGTACTAAATGTTAACTCAAATATATTCAGCTGCAGCACAGGGCTGTCTGTGAATGTGCCTGACTTTAAATCCCCTTTACTAAAGAGGAATATCGACTTATGGGATATAGTAAAGAATGGCTAATATCGGCCTGATATACCAACTTAGTAGGGATGTGTATTTGTGAAATTCTGGTGATACGATACGTATCACGATACAATATATCACAATATATTGCTATACATTGAGTCAGACATTATTAGCAATTTTCTTTACTGCACTTTTAACATGAGGTATAATAACAGAGGGATGTACATTTTAATGGTGTAAACAAAACCTATCGCATACTGCTGCCAACTAGCGGTCAGTATTTGAATTGCACCAAAAGAAAAGAAAATACACAAATGTTTGCATGTAAATTCTTCCAAAAATTAGATGCATGGCTTTTGAATATCGATATAATATCACAGGAAAAAAATTGCGATATTTTGCCAAACTGATATTTCCTTACATCCCTACAGCTTATCATTAATAAAAATGGTTAAGATTCTCATTGTGGATCATAGCAGAGCCTATGTTTATGCCAAAATAAGGATTTGGAAAGACCAGAGACCTGTATCCATGACAACAAGACTAGCTGAAGACTTGAATATTTCAAATATTCGAAATGATTCTTGTGTGTTACCCTGACTGCCTCCCAGTGTGGCCAGTCTGAACACTTCCTCGAAGGTGAGCGTGTTGTGTTCTGGATTCTGGATCGTTAGGACTTTGGACGCATCCAGAGCTTTTCTCACAGCATCGAGCATAGAAGAGGAGTAGCCCCCCGCCACATCTGATGCACCACCACAGACGCGTTAAAAACAAAGATGCACACAGTCACAGTTACAAAGAAATAACTTACTTTCTACCTTTTAATGCATTCCTCTAAGACAAACACCTTCGCTGCAGTGAATTAACAACAGAACTGGATGAACTTCTAACCCACCTGTACCCAGCCCACACTTCACTTTGTGATTCAGGACGTTGCGGACATTTAACACCCCGCTGCACAACCTGGATGAGGTGAAGAACACAGCATAACTTTAACTTGCTTCAAAGATTTTTGAACGCAGCTCTGAGTAGAAACTTACGAAAAGTTGGAATTGGGACAGTGGGACAAAGAAGTTCCTGTCTCTCTGAACAGAACCAGCTCTTTGTCACTGAGATGGCAGCCATGGGCCATCACTGTCTGTGAATCATCAACATCAGGAGTTAATATCTGTCCTTCACATGTTTTAACCAAAAAAAAAAATTCTCCAACTGTGCGTCCAGACCTTCTCGGTGAGAAGATTGGACTTGTGATACACATCCGTGTAGGACTCTGAATCAGGAAACAGCTCCTTTACAAGCTTCACTTCCTCAGTGTTTTCACTGATGTGACTCTAATTAGGAAGTAAAAATCACTTTTTAACTGAGAATTTTGAAATAATGCCGTGGTATAAGGAAATGTGTCATAAGCTATCTCCTCTTTTGGTTGGGTAGTGAGCTCACCTGAATGTGCAGGTTGTTATTTTTAGCTATCGCTCCCAGCTGCGTGAGCAAAGCTTCAGAGCAGGATGGAGCGAAGCGTGGCGTCACCACCGGCTTCACTAAAGGGTACTACCACCACGAGCATCCCCAAAATAACAACAAAAATGGAGAAAAGCAAACATTTCTGACAGGTTTCTTCTTAGGTTTTGTTTCTCATTCCACTCCTGATTGTATCAAACTTTGTTACCTTTTGGTTCAAGAGCTCTTTGATGAACCTAAAGGGAAGAAAATATTATTTATTTATTTATTTATTTATTTAGCACAGCTGCATTTACAAGCTACAAATTAAAACAACACGTTTCTGCAGGACACTTTGCATTGCATAATTTAAAGGTGCATTGTGTAAGAATGAAGTAAGAATGACATCCTGTAGTCAAATGCAGTTACTGCAGCCAATTTTCCAAACACACGAGTCACTTTCTCACTTCTGTTCATTTCATGGCTGTTGCCAGCTACGGATCAGCGCGAGAAGGCTCTAGATGACGGGCAACGAGTCCTACACAGTAAGTTATAATATCGAGTTGTTGGTAATTGAAAAAGTAGCTTGGGATATTTTTAGAGCCAACTATTTGTTTCTAATTCACTGTTAACATTGTTAGCTCAATGTTAGCCTTTAGCCTTTTCATCCAATATTAGGATCAAACAAAAAGATGCCGTGGCCTTTTAGGATTACAAGAAATCCTTTCTGGGTCACCCCTGTTACTGGCTCAGGTTCTTAATACACTAAACAAAAATATAAACACACTTTTTTTTATTTTTTTGCTCCCATTTTTCATGAGCTGAACTCAAACATCTGAAACTATTTCTACATGCACAAACCCCCCATGACTCAAATATTGTTCTGAAATCTGTCTACATGTGTGTTAGTGAGCGCTTTTCCTTTACCAAGATAATCCATCCCACCTCACAGGTGTGGTATATCAAAAGGCTGATTAGACAGCATGAATAATGTACAGGAGTGCCTTAGATTGCCCACAATAAAAGGACACCCTGAAATGTGCAGTTTGATCAAACCACACAATGCCACAGATGTTGCAGCCTTTGAGGGAGTGTGCAATTGGCATGCTGAGTGCAGGAATGTCTACCAGAGCTGTTGCCCGTGAAATTATTTCTCTACCAAAAGCCGTCTCCAAAGGCGTTTTAGAGAATTTGGCAGTACATCCAACCGGCCTCACAACCGTAGACCACATGTGACCACACCAGCCTAGGACCTTCACATCCAGCATGTTCACCTCCAGGATCACTGAGACCAGCCACCGAGACAGCTGCAGCAACAATCATTTTGCAAAACCAGAGAATGTCCGGTCGCCAACCATATTTCAAACAAAAGTAATCATGGGCTGTAAATTTCACTTTTGTGAACAGAACCAGCTGAGATGATAAACTGGAGTGATGCAGCGCTCCAGGAGCTTCTCTATGTTAGAGCTGGAGGTCAGATCACCAGAGACTGCACAGGGACTGTGAAGGACAGACACCTTTAGGATTGGTTTGTTAAAAAAAACTTAATGAGCGCAGCTTTGATCACATTAAAAAGCTACTGCTACTGCTGCATTTACCAGCCGGTGGTGAACTACAAATGCCGGTGCAGATTCAACAACTCACAGATTATAACCAAATACTACGTTCCTCTTCGGCCATTTTGAAAGAAAAAAAAACTGGCAACCCCTCCAGCCAGAAGGAAATCTGTTTTGATTTAACCTTCCTTCCAACATGATTGAGACATTAGACTGAATGTTTACATATTTTATCTTTAAAGATTGAATATGGAGCATTTAAAATAAAAAGCTATATTTTAAATGAATAATACCTCCATGGGACGTTTAGAGGTGTGCAGAATGAACAGTTTTTCCTTTAAAAACTATATAAAAAAAGAATATTCAAATTTTAAGTCTGTCGAGCACAACACTGGGTTTGTGTTTACATGTACCAGCCACTAGAGGCCACTGTTGTGCTAAAAAGTCCACTCAGCAAGGCGAGGCTGGGACTGTTTAAAACGGCGGACTTGATGAGTCAAGCAGCTGATTCTGAGCCCAGAAGATGTTCTAACATTAAAAACTGTTGTAAAATAAACTTATTAGTAGAAATTAGTCCTTACTCTGTATGATTGTCACATGGTGCTGGTTCGTCACTTAACATGTTAGCAGTGAACCAACACCCCAACGGCTGGAAAATGTTTTCTGTTGTTGAACTACCACCTCTAAACACTAGATGTCACCATTTTCCATATTCAACCTTTAAGGTTTGTTCAAAATCAGACCAAAATCAGACTCACCTAATGTGATAGCAGCATTTAAGTTTAGTTAGTTGAACAGATTTTGAAAAGTAAAGCGATAAATAAAAAAATACATAAATATAAATGTGACCAAATCTGTAATTGGTGCACTGGGACAACGGATTGACCCTCATCTTAAATGTGAAAAATGCTATACAGCTCACTGCAGGAAAACATCCACCAGTGGAGGTCAATGGGATACCCTGGACAGGCTGCAAGTTCATTATAGGATAACAAGTAACTTCATAAACCAAAATAAGCAGGAGACATGAAAAGTAAGACAGCCGTCATTAGGTTTATTATAGGATAAAGGATTATTAGAGAAAAACAGTCTGCACCTACACCATAACAAATAATAAATTTAAAAAACACAAAACTATTTAACAACTCAAATAAATGAATTTTCGCAAAATGTCAACAAAATGTAATTTTAGGAGTAGTCGGGCTCCTTTGTCTTCTTTTTAGATTAGAATACATTTTAGCAGTTTGACTTGTTTATGTATGGGAAAAAGCTAATTATTCCCATGATATATTTATTTATTTATTTATTTTTACATACATTCAGTTACTCACCGGTAGGTTTCATTCTCAGACTCCTGAGAGGTTTCTTTGTAATGTTTTACAGAACTGTTCCTGTCCATACACACCTTCCCCACCAGGGCACGCTGTCCGAAGTCATCTGTACAAATGCACACGGCTAAATTTCAACAACATGAATGGATAATAGTGAGTGGAATGCAGTGGGGCCCCCCACCCTGGAGCAAACCTCCACATCCTGCACCCTCAGGAGAACCAAGGCCTTCTCTGGTGACCACCCCTGTTTACCCTGCTACCCTCAGGAAGATGCTGCAGGTCAGTCAGCTTCTTAAATAGGGGCATCAGAAATGCAAATACTCCCCGACACACACATCATGCATGAACAAACTGCACACATTTTTTATGCCCCTTTTTATCATGATTGAATAGAGACATCAGTGTGTTGCTTCCTCTTTGTGTTTTTGTCTTTGTATCTGTTTTTAAACAGACTCATGAGTTTATCTAGTCTCAGTGGGAGCACCTCCAGATATGGTAATAAAGGACTATTTTATTCCATTTGATTCTTTACATTGCATTTTATAATGGTAATTTAGCCAGTTGCGATTATTTGAAGCCCCTAACATATAAGTCTGGTCAACCTCCCATGCTCCTATCAGCCTTTTTTAACTAACAACCTCAAATTCAGTCATGTTTTTTGGAGGATAGGGGTGACATGAGCATTTCATTTATGTTTATTTACAACTTTATTCATTTTTAGGAAGGATAACTGACCCATAGCAAACCAGATTACAGGTTTGCTGCTGCATTTCTTGTCATTTTCTGTTTGAGCTTGTCTTTAGTTGCATTTATAGCAGGTCTATGGTGGGGTTATGTGGACTTATTTGTATACTTCTGTAGATAATCATGACAAACTGTAAAACAATGTTGGAAAATTACACAGTCAAATGTTTCAAATGCAGGTTTATAGGAAATAAACAGCTTAACCTTGATGTCAGAAACAAAAACAATTATGATTTCAATAAAGCTGCCAATAAACTTCCCTTTTGGTATGTAAATTATTAACTCATGACAGTACTTCTCTACCAACAGCTGTTTTTAAGTTAGCTTATTGTTTTGTTGACACAGTCTGAATCATAAATTGGATAAATAATCCACCTCGTCTTAAGTACCCGATAGGCCATCAAACAGCTGACATCAGCTGTGGACTTGTTGTGTTTTTAATAAACCATGTAATGAGCAGGCTACTGGATGTCTGGCAGTACAAAGTTAAGGGTTCAGTGACCACGATTACATAAAATGACCGAGTGAGGCTGCAAAACCTCATGTACGATTCCGCGTTTTCACCGTTACTCATTTATGTGAGCCTGCGTTCGGCGTTATGCAACAAGACAGTGAGATGATAAGAACAAGGCATAAAGGTAAAAGGCTGCTCTGCTTTTCAGCACATTTCTGCTGAGTCCAGAGGAACAGTTGGTAAAAATAAAATAAAGCTCAAATATCTGATATGTTCCTCTTTCAGAATCAAGCCAAACATGTGACGGCTTGATCACATTTTTATCTGCTGATCTAAAGGATTTCGGGCATGACATCATCAATTTGTCCCTCTGGGATTAATAAAATATTTTTTGAATTGAATTGAATAGAAAGAGCATTTTTGTGTTAAGTCAGCTAAAGAGGATAGATTTTCTTGTTCTGCAAGATGAGAAGTTATGCAAAAAAAAAAAAAAACATCCAAAACAATCAACTTGATTTTAATGGAAAATGTATGTTTAGCTAAAAAAAAAAGAAAAGGTGGGGTATAGATGCTGCAGTCATGCAAATTAGGAGAAAAGTCAGCTTTCTGCTGTGAATCAATCCTGAATCATGAGCTCAAATATGCTGTTTAACGAAATGTTATTCTTGTTTTCTGCATTGAAAGGCTGATTTGAATTACAGTGTTTCCCTGTGCATGTGTGCGTGTGCAACTTCGTACGTGCAATCCTCCCCAGCAGAAGAGAAGAATCCGTGTGAATAGTAGCAAAGTAACAGGCTGTAGTTGTTCCATTTCTTAGGGTTCTTTTCTGTAAAACACAAGCTTACATTACAGGAAGACCACTTCATTTCAACCTTTAACCCTCCCACTGTCTTTATGGGTGACCTGCGAGGAAAGTTGACCATTGAGCAGGATTGATGGTTTATCCCTTGAGGTCCATGTGGCAGGGGTGAGGTGGTGCTCACTCCTCCCCCCTGCCACATGGACCCAAGGGATAAACCATCGACCATGCTCAATGGCCACCTTTCCTCGTGGGGTCACACCCATTAAGACAGTGGGAGGGTTAAACCAATGGTGTCACTAAATTGTGAACTTGGGGTAAAAATTCTGCATCCTGCTCACCACTACTTGTGTGTAGACGTTATGGGCAAACTGTAAGTCCTTGAAACGGGACTCCACAGGAAAGGTGTAGGTGTTGAGCCACTGCAGCAAAGGCATGTCTAGGGCTGTGCCAGCATAGCTGTACTGGGAGGCATGAATGTGTGTGTCCACCATCCCAGGCATGAAGAACTCACTGTAACACAGCAAAAAAAAAAAAAAAAAAAAAAAAGTGTGTAAATGTGTTCATTTGTCTCATACAAGGATTTAATTAAGTTAATCTCTGACTTGACCCGTCTAGTGTGTCATAATTCATTCTCTTACTGATCCTCCAGTTGGATGACTTTAGATGGACTGAATCCAAAGGTCTGAGACAAATCCTGTAACTCTCCTCCTTTGTCAATAAAAGCAATCTGATGACAGAAAGAGGTAATTAGATGTATTTATAACATGTGTCAAGCTTTTAACCAGAAAACCTCACCCTCTTCCTGTATTGATATTTACCAGAAATTTCCTGTATTTCTGCATTCTGTTATAATTTTATTCAATAGGTTTATTTTACAACACCTAACAAAAATGTAAGAAGTTTTTTTTGTCTAAAGTGGATATATATAAATGTCACAAGGCCTGTCACATATAAAGAAAATCATATATATAAATTAAAACATTTCTTTTTATGTTTTATATTAAATAATAACACTAACCTGTTTGTCTGGGTTACATAATGAATAAATTGTTTTTCTTTAGTAACGAATAGTTTCACGGAAATTGCTGAATGAGAATTTATTATAATAAAAGCGCAAATGATCAAGTCACCGGCAAACAACTCAAGATAAAATATTATAAGTTTATAACTTTTCATTGCCTTCGTTTTATCAGATCATTTATTCAGTTGTCAATTTGAAAAAGAAAACATAAACTGTAAATAAACCCGATCAAATTAGAGGAGTTTGTCAAACCTTTCCTCGGGTGTCCACTCCCAGGAGCGCATCTTCTAGGATCTGGAGCGGTGTCTGAGGCGTCGAGTGGACAAATGTCCCCCTGTAGACAAACGCAACAGCGGAGCAGGACCTGACGGAGGAGTCCATTACTACAACAGTGTGATATGTTGCGGTGAGATACCTGCTGCAATAAAACGCGGCTTTTATCTTCCTGATCACCGTCCACTAGAGGGCGCCTCCACCTGACCGCAGAGCCGGTACGCAGCCAATCAGATTAGAGGATGGGTGAGGTGTGTGTGTGTGTGTGTGTGCGCGCGAGCAGAAAAGGTACGCCAAGTTCACAGATGAAATAAAAACAGCTTAAAACCAAAACACAGCTTTACACTAATCTTCATGTTGTATCAAAAACATGTTCATTTTTATTTTTAAGGCCCATTTTTTTTGTTTATGAAATAAGCAGTTTTTATTTCCAGAACTTATTTACAAACTCACGAGTTAACAAGAAAACATTAATGACTGAAATTACAAGATTATTATTAAGCATCATGTGTAAAAACACATGATGTTTCAGTCATGAGTGTTTCAAAGTGATGAGAACCTCCATGACTAACACACACCACGATGATGAAAAAAACGGATAAAGTTCGTTCTTGATTTTATCAGGATCACATGACAGATGAAAACATGAATTCTTTAAGATGACATCATACAAGAAAATAAACATTTTATGGACTCAGGTCATCCTGGGACAAGAGAAAAAAGGCTGTCAGAACAACTGAAATAAGGCTTAATAACATGGAAAATAAAGACATAATGTTATTACTTAACATTTATTTATAATTTAATATAATCCTGTGGTGAAATTGTGATATTTTCTTTTGTTTTTAATATGCTTTTAGATTAATGTAATGATGCTAAATTGGTGATTTTGATGTTTAATATTGTTGTGTTTCAAAACACCGAGGTGTTATCGTTTTTTTTTAGATTTAACTAATTAAAAAATATATTGCAACAAATAAGCCCAGTACAAAGGGATGTACCCTATACCACTTAAGTACAGGAATCTATCGTTTTACTACCCAAAAGTGTTCAAAGCTTTTACTAGTCAGAATTGTACTTTCACTTTAAAATTATTTTAATAATGTAAACACGCACGCACGCACACACACACCAATAACCAAATGAAAAATAAAACAGAATAACTTTTGGTTTTATGACCATGACATGGATTAAAGCTTATTTCTGTTTATGAATGAAACAGTAACATTTATGGATGTGGCATGCCTGAAACATGAGATAATTATAAATCTAGTTTAAAAAATTATTTGTATTAGCTAATGCTAATAAAACAACTTTATAGCAAGTTTTTTTAATTTTATTCTGCAATTATATAACATTAAAATCGTAATAAAGGAATAAAACCATGTCTTGACATATGTACATTCACCTGAAGGATTATTAGAAACGCCTGTTCAACTTCTCCTTAATGCAATTATTTAATCAACCAATCACATGGCAGCTGCTTCAATGCATTTAGGGGTGTGGTCCTGGTCAAGACAATCTCCTGAACGCCAAATTGAATGTCAGAATGGGAAAGAAAGGTGATTTAAGCTATTTTGTTGGTGCCAGACGGGCCGGTCTGAGTATTTCAGTCTGCTCAGTTACTGGGATTTTCACCCACAAGCCACAACCATTTCGGGTTTACAAAGAATGGTGTGAAAAGGGAAAAGCATCCAGTATGCAGCAGTCCTGTGGGTGAAAATGCCTTGTTGATGCTAAAGGTCAGAGGAGAATGGGTCGACTGATTCAAGCAGATAGAAGAGCAACTTTGACTGAAAACCACTCGTTACAACCAAGGAATGCAGCAAAGCATTTGTGAAGCACCAACACGCACAACCTTGAGGCGGAGGAGCTGCAACAGCAGAAGACCCCACCAGGTACCACTCATCTCCACTACAAGTAGTAAAAAGAGGGTACAGTTTGAACAGCATCACCAAAACTGGACAGTGGAAGACTGGAAAAATGTTGCCTGGTCTGATGAGTCTCGATTTCTGTTGAGACATTCAAATGGTAGAGTCAGAATTTGGCGTAAACAGAACAAGAGCATGGATCCATCATGCCTTGTTACCACTGTGCAGGCTGCCGGTGGTGGTGTAATGGTGTGGGGGGTGTTTTCTTGGCACACTTTAGGCCCCTTAGTGCCAATTGGGCATGGTTTAAATGCCACGGGCTACCTGAGCATTGTTTCTGACCCATCCTCTGATGGCTACTTCCAGCAGGATAATGCACCATGTCATAAAGATCCAATAATTTCTAATTGGTTTCTTGAACATGACAATGAGTTCACTGTACTACAATGGCCCCCACAGTCACCAACACCTGCAGATCCTCCACCAGGGGGCAGTAAACATCAGAATTGGCAGTAGAATATTGGTGTTTAAAATCTGATTCTGTGAATTTACTCAAAAACTCTTTTGCAACATTTTCAAACTTTAATCATTCACACTAGACACATCCAGGAATGTGGCGGATTTGTTCTGTTTATTTTTCTTTGTCACTGTCAACGTCTTCTTCTTCTTCATCCTCAAGACCAGCAAAGAAATCCTCATCATCACAATCAAGATCATCTACGTCTTTTTTTCGTTGTCTTCGTCCTTTCTTTGTCAGTTCCTCTTCTTCTCTGTTGTCTGAGTGTGAGTTTATCCTGCATAGCGGTGGAAAATGAATAGAATCAGCAGATGATAAACTTTTATGTGCTAGAAAAATTGACAAAAATAAACAATTTTGCTGGATATAAAAAATTACAAAGAAATATCTGGTGATAAATGGATCCTAGAATTCCCCCCGAATGTGACGTCCATGGAAGAAATCCTAGCAATGTGTCATAATATCCACTAGATGGCAGAATAAGGCAGAATGCAGCACGTAAAAAATCATTATTACGACATTAATATACCTTACTCCATGGTTCAATAAATAAACTTTTATTAAACTTTGATATATATTTTTTAAATTGAAAGAAAATTCAGGACTAAATGAGAAAACTTTTGCACTTACGGAATAATAATATCCTCTTTCTTCCCACACTTACAGCAGATGTCCAGCTGGAGCGAACAGGGCTTACAGACTATGTGATATGCATCTTTCACTGTCTTTTGAGAGCACTTCACACTGTGAATAGAAAACATGCATCTGTTTTACAACAACAAATTTACTGAGTGAAACTTAATGCATTCAACTTTTGGGTTTGAATTTCCTTTTATTCCAGCAGGCTTTATTAAACTTTTTTTAAAATATGAGGGCATGCTTGCTATTTTGTCAGTTTCACAATATTGTAAAATATATAAATACATTTCTTTTTATTAAATCAGGACATAACGAGGTGGCGGGGGCACAGGAGTTAAGTGCTCGCCCCGTAATTGGAAGGTTGCAGGTATGAGCCCTGCTCAGTCTGTCACAGTCGTTGTGTCCTTGGGCAAGACACTTAACCCACCTTGTCTGCAGGTGGTGTTCAGAGGGACCGGTGGCGCCTGTGTATGGCAGACTCGCCTCTGTCAATGTGCTCCAGGGCAGCTATGGCGGCAATGTAGCCCATCACCACCAGGGTGTGAATGTGTGTGTGAATGACTAATTGTGTTGTAAAGTGCCTTGGGGGGTCCCAGGGCTCTAGCAGGGTATCTGCAGGTTTAAGGGACCAAATTTAAGACTTTTTAAGACCTTTTTTAAGGCCATTTTGACCAAATTTAAACAATTTTTTAAAATTAAATATAAGCTATAATTTCTAGCTATTGCCTGCAACCGGTGCTAACGACGTCTCAAACGTGGGATTAACATCCAGTTACCATTAAACTTGCACTTCCCCATGGCACAAGCTCCCACTAGCTTAACCAGCTAATGTGCTCATCTAAAAATAGCCCCCTTTCACAACCAACTGAATGTGTACGGTTCCGCTTATGCCAATATCATACACATCTTATAGAAATAAAAGAATGTTGTTTATTGGGTCTTTGGACATTTAAGACCTTTGGAAACTGTATTTAAGGATTATTTGTCATTTTTAAGGATTTTTAAGGCCTTAAATTTGGAAAAGCAAATTTAAGACTTTTTAAGGACCCGCGGATACCCTGTCTAGAAGGTGCTATATCTAATACAGACCACTTGCCATAAAAACAATGGACTTTTTACTTATCAAATTATCAAATGGAGTAATGGATAATGTTGTTTTTGTTAATGTGTATAATTTCAGTTTTAACCCAGTTTTAAAACTATGCGACATGTGTATCAGATGTTGAATTGAAAAAGATGTATTTACTGTTTTGTGTGCATCTAAACTACTGTGAATTTTAGCTAGATTAGAAATATCATTAACTAAGGTGTCCTACTCACCATTTTCTGGGCTGGGTTAGGGGCTTGTATTTGTTGTACTTGACTTTCCACTCGAGAACACCCTTACAGTGCTGACAAAGCCCATCGTGGATCTTTGAATTTGCCTTCTATAGTTAGAAAATATCAGTGGAAGAATTGATTAAGTGTTAGAATAACAATATAATAATCTGAATGAGAAAAAAAGATAAGTTAATGCATCGTAAAAAGAAAAACGTTTATTTTTTTGGTTTTGCATTGCAATACATATTTTTTATTGCCAATGCATAAACAAGTTAAGAAAAAGTCAGTAAAGACGCAGTTTTTACAATGAAAATAATTTCTCTGCAAACAATTTATAACTGTATTATCAATAAACTTAATTTTTTTTATTTATTGTAAGATTGTGATCAAAAGTGTTGCAAGTGCCCAGTCACACATCATCTATTTCTATACAATAGCGTATTTAGTCAAGAGTAAAAGCGATAAAACACAATTTTCCTGTTTGCGCACCCACACACACACACCGACCTTCACTTGTAAACTCGCTCCATGTTTATCATTTTTGAAGGCAGTCGAGTTTTGATGCTTCTGGCCTCGCGATCGAGATATATTTCCCTTTTGAGAACTCATTCTATCATTTATCGTTGTAGTTTAAACACACTCACTTAGGCTAAACAAAACCAACAAGCACGCCGCTAAGCAGGACAGTACAACCCGGAAGTGATAGGCGCACTTCTTAAAACGTCACTAAGGTCAAACATATCTTCTCAAAGATAAGAAAACAATCTATATATATTATTATTATTGTTACAAATTACAAATAACACATGATTTTAAATGTCGTTTATTTTGTAAATATTAATTTTAAAAACGTGTTGTAAATGACGTCAACAACTGACTGAAACGCCTTTAACAACGCTGATTGGAGCGTTTTTTTGTGTAGTACGCTCTGATTGGCTGTAACGGATGTCATTGATAAGACCAAACCGAGACGTTGCGGCACCGAGAAGAACCTCCCAATCACTCCTCAAATGGTGGAGTGGCTGGAAGCTACATTAAACTCATTGCAATTGGCCTTTGACGCTGTCAGCCGCCAGGCTCAGCTAAACATCCATAACGAAGACGTAGATGTTGTCGGTAGCCTAGCGATACTGCCGAGAAGTGTTCAACGAACCACCTCCGAGCTCTTTTCGGGATTTAGAAGTGGATGAATTGTTGAACAAACACTAATGTCGCCGCTGAGCCGATCAAACCGGAATCTCGAGAGTGGGTCCATCTTGTTGTTATTCCGGACCATATGCTGAGAAAACAACCGAGGAGAGAAGGAAAAAGAGGAAGAGGAGCCAGAGGAAGCAGCCTGTTCAGAGCTGCGGTTCCGAAATAGGGATACTAGCATCAAAGCTGGGCTTGAACATCCTCCTCCTGGTGTCGAAAATAACACCAGACTGCTTCGACATCGTATTATCTTAAAAAAATATACAACTAGCTGTGGTTCAGGTAAGGTTGACTTTATTTCCTAATGAAACAGAAGTCACATTAAACATCATAATCTCACAGAACACAGTCATTTGTGAGGGTTTAGTGCCACTTCAGCAAGATGCTGAAATAGCACCATCCATCCAGTGAGAGGCACTTAAAGAGACAAGTAGCTTTTCTTTTATGATCACAAGAGTTTAGTCACATGCTGTTCAACAAGAGGACTGGGAAAACTTGTAGAGGCAAAGGTGAAACATAACACTTGGGCAGCATGCCAGTGTGTACTCTCTTACATTAAAAGCTGATGTTTGTCACAGTTGAAGAGATTTTAGAGCTCTGTTTCCAGTTTAGGAATGGCTTAATTATTTACATATATGTATTTGGATGTTAAGCTACACTCAACTCTTCCATTTATTTAGAACTTATGAACTTCATCAAGTGCAGTTTTGCTTCAGGACTTGAAACCAGATGTTACCATAAATCTGGACAGAGGTTCAGAAATGTTGCCATTCAGAATGTCATTCTTGTGCACAGCTGTAGTTACTAGAAATCAATGAGACTCTTCAAATGAAGGGAAGTTTTTTTTTTGGAGGGGATAAAGATTATTGTTTTGTTTTTATCATTCTTGGTCTAGAAGGTGTTTTTTTAACCATTCAATTTTTCCTGTTGGTGTTTTAAGGATGAATCACCTATCCTTCAGTGAGCTATGTTGCCTGTTCTGCTGTCCACCGTGCCCCAGCAAGATTGCCGCCAAGCTGGCCTTTCTGCCGCCAGAACCCACTTACAGCCTTATGTGTGATGAGAGTGGCAGCAGATGGACTCTGCACCTCTCCGAACGGGCCGACTGGCAGTATTCAGCCCGTGAAAAGGATGCCGTAGAGTGTTTCATGACCCGTACATCCAGAGGGAACCGCATTGCCTGCATGTTTGTGCGCTGCTCACCCAATGCCCGCTACACACTTTTATTCTCTCACGGGAACGCAGTGGACTTGGGCCAGATGAGCAGCTTCTACATCGGCCTGGGTTCACGCATCAACTGCAACGTGTTCTCCTACGACTACTCAGGTTATGGCGCCAGTTCTGGGAAACCCTCGGAGAAGAACCTGTACGCCGACGTGGATGCTGCCTGGCATGCGCTCCGGTCACGGTAAGAACAGCTGAGCCAAATTAAAGAAGGATTATGTAGTGACACCATCTAAGCCCTCAGATAATGTGGGACCAAATGTATTAATGACAGCTCCTTGTGATTTGCTTTTGCTTTGCTGTGAATGTTGGGACACAAATATGGGCAGATTTCACAGCGTTGAGAAAGGATCACAGGAACCAAAGCAGGTGTGAGAATCGGAAGGAAAAGCACCTAAACCAGTTAGATATGGTTTACAAAGTAAGATAACTATGACAATATTTACCTGATTCTCCCCCTCTGACAATCTTAAAGGGACTTTACGGAGTTTTGAATTTTTATGCTCGCGATTGCCCCCTCAGGCCAAAAGCGTAATGGCAGCTTCAATAGTAAGCTCTTGCACGAGGCGCGCATGCTGTACGTGCACACTCCTTAACGAAAATACCAGCTGAGACAGTCCCTTGTGTGTGTGTGTGTGTGTGTGCGTGTGTGTGTGTGTGGCCCGGAGGACAGGAGAACGCGCAGCTAATTAATTAATTTGGTTCTGTACCTTTCTCTTCAGCACAACTGACAAAGGTTTATGATGGGTCAGTCCTCCTGCATGCTCAGATCGTTCCCTTCCCTTGCTTGAAAAATTGTTCCAAAATGAAAGTTCAACCCACATCTTTTTTTTATCTGTGAATTCAGTGCCGTTCGGCGAGTCTCAAATAAAAATTTGGGCATCTTACTGTAAAAAAATATATATCATTAACTCATTCACTGCCATTGACGACTAAAGTCGTCATTTGAATTTTTTTTACTGTGTGGGTGTTGGACGAGCCCCCGCACCGTGAGAACAAACATCTCAGCTCTAAAGCCGATCTTCATACGCGTACGTCACACGTCACGTGATCAGGAAGCAGAACATCCACGTGTTAGGAGATCGTTTTGGGCCGCTGCTGTAAAAAAGGTGAGGCGTGAACCGGAAAAGCTTCTGCCGATCACAATTCAACAACGGATTATGAAAGAACGGATAACGCTCGAAACGCGCAGATTCTTCCTGATGTAAGAGGTGAGTCTCCACTTTGTTTTGGTCGTTTTGGTGTTGACATCATCCTAGAGCGCAACGTTCTGTGACTCTTAAAAAAACAATAAAAACGGTGAGAAACGCTGGCAGCGAATGAGTTAATGTAAAAAACTCTAAATAAACTATGTTCACATCCTGAATCTAACCCAGGACTTCTGCACGAGAGTCCGACGTCTTACTAGGTGAGCTAAAGCACCAGTGATGTCCTTTGTATCTGTAACATTTATATCCTTGATGACACCTGAAACAACGTCAAACCAAAGAACGGTTCAGAGCGAAAATAGCTATTTTGTTGCTAATTTGCAGGAAATATCTAGGAGAAAGTTCTACAGAAAGTAGCTAAGGGTCCTCAGAAATGTAGCTAGGTTCGTCACTAGGCGTTAAGAACAGCGACAAAGTGGCACTGCCTCTCTCTGCTGCTAAAGCTACGGATAGAAAATGCTACGGGCTATGAGCGTGAACACGCTTGAAGCAGCCTGCTCGACCCGAGCAACTCTCTTTTTCTGTGATTTTACAGAAAAATAGGCAATCACAATAAAAATGCCAGGGCTCATTTTACAGGACCAGGGCATTGCAGGAGAATGTATGAAGAAGAAATTTATTATTTCTATACATGTTTTGGCTGTCAAACTTCCTTAATGCCCCTTTAAAGCCTGGGGCACACTGACGACAGACGCGCCACGCCGTCATAAAAAAATGCTCTTATCGTTACAGAGAGTGGTTACACGGGGAGCGTAGCGCCTTGTCCCAGAAGCGCCGCGCTGAAGATGGGTGCCGGTTCTATTTGAAGCGCCGTGGCACGGCTGTTTACAACGTTGTGAAGCACAGACATTATGACGTGGAACAGCTTTACGGCACAAACTCAACCGCAGTATTGATAAATTTAAAGTACTATTGATCTTCAAGTATTCTAATAAATAGCGTACTTACCCATTTTTAATGAATTAGTCTCTCAAATCGTTACGGCAAATCTGATCACATAAAAACAAAAGAGTCACTTTCCGCTCCCTGTTCTCATGTCCCGCCTGATGTTGTGACCATCGCACGACTTTCCAATAAGTGCTCAGCGGCACTTCCTGTGTGACCATTTGATTTCCCAAAACTACGGCGTGTCTGTCTCCAGTGTGTCCCGGGCTTTAGGGATGCCCCTGATCTAAAGATAATCTTATCAGATATTCCTGCACCAATGCGGATTGCCAAACGGTTCGCTCGGCACCGCAAAGCTGGCATTGTGGAAAATGGCAAACTTGGAGAGTCAAGCAGCTGCTTCTGAGCCCAGAAGATGTCGTTACCCTTCTCAGAAAAGATGCGACTATAAAAGATCTAAAACCAGAGTGAGTTTAGGTGAAGTCTACAACAGATGGACCCAAATGAAAAATTCTCCTATCGGCAGCGAACCTGGTATCCAAACGACTGGAAACCTTGTTATGTTGTTGCAACTACAACCTCCTCATACTAGATGTCGCTTTGGTGTTCGTGATCCATGTTCCACCTTGTAACATGTTGGATTGTCCCGGTCTGATTTTTGGAGACAAACAAGGGTGCTGCTGCCTGTTGAATGTGATATGTAGATAATCAGAAAGCAAGGTGACAGAATCACACTCATTCTTTTATGTTCGGTTACTCCGAAGTCACGTTTGATCTCGAGAGATTTTACGAGATTTCCTGTCCGACCAGAGAACGTTCATGTGTGACATCTGTTTTTGTTGTGTGTAGTTGTTGCCGTGTGACTGCACACCACACACTCTACAACCAAAACTTGTACATCCATGATTTTTTTAGTGTCACGTGTGGCCTCTCACATTTTGAAAACAATAGGATAAAGTTCTGAAGAAGCTGAGGGAAGGTGTGATTACTAAAGGGATGAAATAAATGAGAATGAGTTCTCAATCGACTCCTCTGGTTAGATAAAGGTTAAGTAAAAAATAACGAGACATGTTGTGTATTATTGATATGAAGTATAGTTTCTGTTGCCTACTCCATTCATATGAGCTTGAGTTTATTCAAACAATCATGAATTTGACAATGATCTGGAATTTTTACGGTAATTGCTTTCAAAGGCACAGTAAATAAAATTTTGGTCTATTTTTTTCCCTGAGTAATTTAATATGTGTATTACAACTTTTTGAATTTTGCATAAATCTGTCTCTAGGCCAGTGTTTAGAGTATCTGTGCAGTTAGAACATTAATTCTAGCAGAAACCAGCCAGTAGCAGACCGTGGCTCCAGAATGAAAAGGTCAAGTTTTGCATCTTTTAAAGCTGAAGCACACGGTCAGATATTTAAAGTGAAATTTCAGTCGTCCCTGTTTTAGCTTAGCTGAATAAGCTCTGTTCAACAAATAAGTCCCGTTTCCACTATGAGAACATCTGGGTAATTTTGCCAGCCGTGCATATGTTTTGACAGGTTGACCCACCAGCTTGTTTGAGTTGATTAAATAAAAATGCAGTTCACCAGTTTTAAATGTACAAAACTAAAGAGTAAATCTAACCAGAGGAATCAAGGAATCTAAAATGAGCCCGTACACAGATGATGCTGTCACAACTTTCAGTAACATTTGTATGCACTACTCATCCTCCGATAGGACTTTTCTTCATGTACGCTATATTTATCAGTCTGTTTAGCCTCACGCTGCTCATTTCCTCCCATCCATGTTGAAGGATGTCTGCTTTTTGTCTCCAGCCCTCCGTCATCTCCTTCTTTTGTGCTTTTCAACAGCATAGACATTATTCTCCACGTCGTTAGGTCTGATTTATAACAGGAACTTGTGGATTGTTGTCATAGACAATACACCCTGTGTCAAACTCGGTTCATTAAATGATTGGTTTTTCAGGTGACAATCTTAAATGGCACAAATTCTGCTAATAAACCAAGATTTAACTTTTTAATGTTTTGTTACTGTTTGAAAATAACAATAATTGTAACATTATAGTAAACAGATCACAGTAAAAATGACTTTAGTTTAAGGTTAATGGAGGCAAACAAGAACAGAAATTCACACCTGACAGGTGATGGAGACAATTCAGTGTTTTCTAGTGATTTAATACATCTGTCTTCTTGTTGGAGGGTTTTTGTTTTGATATAGTCATTGATCAAATGGGGATCATACGTCATATTTAGAGCTAAAAGGCCGTCCAGAGAGTTATTTTGGTGGTTGAAATTCGGTTTTATAGCTTGAGACCAACGGTTTGGTCAAACAAAGGTGAGGTCCAGGGATTGGGTAACGGAAGGTTTTAAAACCAAACAGCTGTATGATTGCTTTAATGTTTAAATGAGCGATTTAAAGGTGCTTCTTGAGATCCTTGACGGTTCAAAACAAAGAAAAGTAGTTGTTTATTAGCTACTGACTTTTGCTGCAAGCTACTAAATCTTTTTTCCCAGAATAAATCGACTGTCCTAATAAGAAAGTTTTTCAAAAGGAAGTGAACAAGTTAAACAGGAAACATGGTGATGAATTAGCAGCTTCTGCTGTGAAGGAGACCAACCTGCTTTTCTGGAGATGTCACTCACTTTCTACCTCATGTGTATTCACTTGTAAGTCGCTTTGGACAAAAGTGTCTGCTAAATACATAAACATATTCAGCCCTTCTTCTGTTCTTTGTCCTCTTGCTTTAATGTTGAGGTGTCATCATGGATACCATGCAAGAAAGAGGAGTGGTAAAAGCTGCAGGGTGTTATTTTTTTCATCTTTCATTTTTGTTGATTCATCAGGGATCAGCCCTACTCCCACTAGCAGTCATAATGTTCAGGCATTGGCCTTGGGTTTCATTACTTAAAATAATTGAACCAAAGTAATTTAATAAAGTGGTAGATATGTAATATTTCATAAGCAGGAACACCCATGTAAAGTTTTTATTTAAAATTTTTATTCAATTGTCAGACCTGACCTTATGTTTTATTTGAATTGACTTGCCATGACATTTAATTAGAATCTGGGACCTGATGAAATAGATCAAATT